CCAGTAAAAGCAAATATTATTTTTAAATACTAATACAAAGTAATAAAAAGTAATACACATATATAATTTTGATTTCTAATTTTTTATTTATATTTTTCTTCTATTACACTGCATGCTTAGAAAATTAATAAATATTTATATTTATGTGATTTTAAAATTTGTTGTTTTCACATGATTTTAAAATTTGTTGTTAATATAACGAATTAGTTCTGTAATTATTATTATTTAATAAACCAACGTTGCCAAAAAATTTAGAGACTATATTATTTTTAAATAGGATCTAATATAAATAATTTTGACTTCTAATTTGTTGTTTATATTTTGCTACTACTTAAAAAAATGTTTATATTAAATGATTTTAAATTTTGGTGTTAATAGGTATAACAAATTATTACTGTTATTATTATTTATTAAACCAGTTTTGCTTAAAAACATTAAAAATCATTTTCCTATATCCAAAATAAAAAGTATTATTGCAGTGTAACAACAGAATATTAATAAAAAAACATGCAAAATATATAGTTACACTATCCCTAACTAACTATAATACCAAATAATAATATTCTTTGCTAATACCAACTAATACGAATATACGGCAACAGCGCCGTTCATAATGTATTTTCTGTGTAAATACTAGCACCTCAATAAAAGAAATAATGTGTCCTTATCTTTATCTGACTCAAAATCAAAGATGCCGGCTTTTTTCATACCATTGCCACCGACCGCCGACTGCTGTCGGGCTTCTAGGAAAGAAACCTACGTCGCCGGGCGACAACTAAAATCCAGTTTATATTTCATTATAATCGATCCTGACGAATAAATGAATTTTACAAATGAATGAATTTTTTAAATGAATGGTTTTTGCTGCCGAATTAATATATTTCAAGGCAGATGACGCATCTATTCGATATTTTTATTCGAATAGTTTTCGACGAATGTTTTCTTACTAGCTATCGAATTATTCGAATGAATTGCAACTATCGAATGTTTTGATAGTATTCATTCGATAGTTCTAAACCAAATCTAGTTCCAAACCAAACCAAACCACTACTAATAATAACATTGCAATCAAGAGGGGAATTTTTCAGGGAGACTCCCTATCACCTTTGTTATTCTGCGTAGCTCTCATACCCCTTTGCTAACTTACTGAAAAAGAAAAACCTTGGGTATCAAATAGATTGCAATGTTAAGATAAACCACCTATTATATCTAGATGACTTGAAACTATTTACAAAAACAGAAAAGGAAATGGAACAAATGCTCAAAATTGTCAAAACATTCAGCCAAGACATCAATATGGAGTTTGGTTTAGACAAGTGCTCCACAGCTACATTCATGAAGGGGAAGTTGACAAAAAGTAAGAACATAAAAGTAGAATCGAACATAGAACTTGAAATAAGAAATTTGGATCCAGAGGAAACTTACAAATACTTAGGCTTAGAAGAAGGAGACGGAATCGACAACAAGAGTATGAAGAATAAATTAAGGAAAGAATATTATAGGAGAATCAGAAAAGTGCTTGACACAGAATTATGTGCAAAAAACAAAATAAAAGCTATAAACACAATAGCAATTCCAGTAATGACTTACAGTTTTGGTTTAGTGGAATAGCCAAAAGAGGAGATAAAGAAAATTGACAAATGACTAGAAAACTACTTACCTCAGGGAAAATTCACCACCCAAAAGACATTGTTGATAGGATCTATATGAGAAGACTAGATGAAGGAAGAGGTTTGCTAGAGCTTGAGGAAGCATTAGAAACTGCAATCATGGGACTGAGTGAGTACATAAAAGAGGAAAAAGATGAATTGGTAAAGATTATCAAGAAGCAAGACGAAGCAAGAGCAAAATACTCAATTACGAAGGAAGCAGCACGAATCAGAATGAAATATGACACAAATGAAGTAGCAATCCCCAATCCAGGAACATGAAATTGAAAATAAGAGAAGAAATAGAAAAGCGAAGAATAGAAAGATTAAAAGAAAAACCACTATACGGACAATTTATGAGACATTTAGATAAGAACTTCGTCATTAAAAAGAGTAGCATACAATGGTTAAATGGTGCAGGATTGAAAGGAGAGACAGAAAGTCTAATAATGCCTCCACAAAATCAAGCCCTAAGTACAAGATATAGACAAAAAAAGATCTTCAAACAAAATGTGGATAGTAGATGTAGATTATGTCATGGGTCAGAGGAACACGTTAGTCATATCATCGCTGGCTGTACAAACTTGGCCGCCACTGAGTACACTCATAGGCATAATAATAACATCAGAAAAGCTATTAACACATATGCAATTCCGGTATTACAGTACTCCTTTGGAATTGTTAAATTGAGTCACACAGATCTGGAAAGAATAACCACCAAAATCAGAGTAAGCTTAACCAAAAATAGAATGCACCACCCGAAATCTTGTAAAGAACGTGTATCCCTACCTCGAGAAGCAGGAGGTAGAAATATAGCAGATGTAGTCCAAAGCTGCCACAATAAAATAATGGGACTAAGAAAATATTTTAATGAAAGTGACTCAGAAATTGCCAAAGCTATTACAACAGCAGATATTAACTATACCCCTCTCAACCTAAGTGACAGAACATATAAAACCCTACCAAACATGACTACCGAGCAAGCAAAGGTTCAAAACTGGAAAACAAAGGAATTACATGGGCGATATCTCTACGAACTAGGAAAAACCCACGTTGATAAACGCGCATCACTCAGATGGCGAATAAATGGCAACCTTTTCCCAGAAACGGAAGGATTTATGGTATCTGTACAGGATCAAGTAATAGCTACACGAAGCTACAGGAAACATATCCTCAATGAGGACCTACCATCCGATTTATGCGGAAAATGCAACTGTCAGCAAGAAACAATAGAACACATCCTGTCCAGTTGTCAAAATATGGCGGGCACAAAATACTTAGAGCGTCATAATAAAGTAGCTACCATCGTTTACTTGGAAATACTTCACATGTATGGCTGTGATCCCGAAAACATTGAACCGTATTATAAATACACACCACCCCCCGTTCTGGAAAGTCAGGACATCAAAATATACTGGGATAAAGGTATTATAACTGACCGCAAAATTGATAACGACCGCCCAGATATTGTGCTTGTACGCAAGAAGGAAACTCTACTAATAGATATTGCAATCCCCAACAACGACTACTTAGAAAGTAAAATAACTGAGAAAATCACAAAACCCACCAGTCTCAAATCTGAAATAAAGAGCATGTGGGCTTTGGAATCAGTCACAATAGTTCCTCTGATAATTTCATCTATGGAACTGATTCCTAAAACCCTAAAAGAACAACTACGCCAAATAGGAATACCGTGGAATACTTTCCATAAAATCCAAAAATCAGTAATTCTAGACCTTTTCTAGATCGGTAGCAACACACGAGACCTGCTCAGTGAGTCGTCACGTTGTGTGTAAAACCAGGAAACATCTGTGAAAAAAAAATCGTCTTTATTGAAGAAAAAGATGTAACAAACATTACATATATTACACATCATGCAACAAGGGTGGCTTTTCTTCTTATACTTCCGAATGCATTTTGTACTCTATTGTAAAAGTTGACATGTACTGATTTCACTTTTACAAATGACGTCAAGTAATGTCCCCCCGCCCCTTGGCGACACGTCCAGGAACCGCGCTGGCCATTATACTGCTCTACCATTTCCAATTCATCTTCCGGGGAAATAATTTGATTGTTTATATATATTATATAATTATATTATTTATTTCATATTATTTTTATATTTTATTTTTGATTTTTTTTCCGCATTCAATGTTTTACCCCACGCCATTATTAAGTTTGAAAGCTTATCAATATGTTGTAACGAGGAATAGATTAAATATTTAAAAACCGAGCAGGATTTGAAATTAGTTTAAACAAATTGTGTTCAAAAGTCCGAAACAAGAAAAAATATTAAGTGTGGCATATCACTGTACTCAGAAGACCGAGAGCTTTCAAAACATCAAATAAAAAATGCAGGTCCGTATTTAAAGAAATTAAGTTGGCCTCGTTGGAAATTATCAGCTAAATCGAAAATCTAAAAATACTGTTAGGTAGCCCTAATAAAGCGGCTATGAGAATGTGCAATTAGTTTTTCGATTTTCTAAATAGTAACAAGATAACTCAAAAACCGCTGAACCGATTTTAACCAAATTTGGCACAAAAATATTGTGGCACCCGAGAATCTGGCCATTAGTTTTTGGTGGGGTGGGGGGTAGGTAAGGGGGTATGGGAGGGGGTTAAAAATTTAAAAAAATCGTAACTCCAAAATTACAGTAGCTAGCGAAACGCGGTTTTCAAATTAAGATTAGGAATAATATTTGCAACAAAATTTGTAATAACATCAAAATCAGTCAAAGTTGCAGTTTTCGAGATATTAACATATTTTAGTATGGGCGGCTATACGTGCCTCCCGGCGCCAATTTTTTCTCATAGAATAGATTTGGTTAATTCATATTTTTTAAATAACTGGAAATTATCATAGGTACATACTATGAGAACACGATTGCAGAAAGATAAATTCCTCTATAAAGATATATCAACTAAAATATTAAATACATACTGCAATAATAAACAAATAATTCATAATTCCTGGCATCACGAGCTTTTTTTACATGCCTCAATTTATTATCAATGTTATCACACACGAAGTCAAATGTCGAAACGATGATATCAAAAAATAAGAGATTTTGATACACTGAAAAAAAAATTGTTTGTGCACTATGTGCGCATATTTGAAGTGAAAATTGAGGGATTTGAAGGACAAGTTTAAAATGCTGAAAAAGTAATAAATTAAAAAAAATATGCGTAAAATTAGTTTTTACGTGTAACAAATAGCTTTTTAGACGTAAAAGTAGTTTTTTACGCGTAAAATTATAAAGGTTTGACTACGTAAATGGAGTCATTTTCTTCAGACGCAGAATAAAACTCTTTGTTTTATCTGAAAAATAAACTAAAACATAAACTTAACAGGCTTCCAGTCCGGCCTGTACAGAATTGGAAATGATTGTGATGAATTGGCTTGGCAAGATGATAGGTCTACCTGAAGAGTTTCTTCATAGGAAAAATGGCGATGGAGGTGGCGTTATCCAAGTAAGTTCAAAGTTTCTAGATCCGATCCGAAGGTTTTTTTCTGTCTCTTTATCTGGTTTTAAATGTTCGAATTTGAGAATGATAGATTTGAGTCAAAAATATAAAGTGTGGCGCACCTCATTCGCTGGTTAATTATAAAAAAACGGAAAGATGTAGAAACAAAGTATCTTATGGGTATATATGGGAAGCGCATGTGCATAATTTAAAATTATTTTGAAATGTACAGGATGTGTCAGAGATCTAAGATCTTAGACCAACTAGTGCTGAGTTTTAAGCCAGAGAAATAAACTTTACTGATAAATTTGATTTATTAATATATACAGGGGTATCAAAAATTGCTGGTCTATTTTAAATGTTTATTTTACATAAAAACCTTCGTTTAATAAAGAATTTCGTTATTTCAAATGCGATGCCGATATATCTTAAAATAAGTGGAAGCAGATTAAATGCTCTTTCAAACTATATTAGGGTTTCCTTATACCGTAGGATCGAATAAAAACGGCATGAATGCACATCAATGACATTTCCCATATAAATTTACATATAAAATGAGAGCGATCTTCATTTCATAGCCATCGCTGATGCCGTTTTTTTTTCGATCATACGGTACCTATCTGGTTCAGATTTTGAATAAAGAGCGATTTTTCAATAAAATGGCAACCAAGAGGGCTGGGATTGTCATGGCAATTTTCTCGTGACAGTAGCTATTTTCAAAATCGAAATTAGTTTATTGACTTTATTTAAACTTATTTATCTTATAACAGTTTTCTTTTATTTAATTTACGTGCAATAGTTTAATAAATAAGTTTTATTATTTTATCAAGAAAAACGAAAAAGTAGTTCTTTGATTTATTTTACGCTGACTTGTAGATATATGGATTTTCTATAAAAGAGCTGTATACCGCAAATTCATGTTTTTCACTTCTAGGGACAGGTTTCTTCTCCTCTTGATGCAGGAACCCTAATCTCCCCCTACTAAAGTAAACTAATATAAATTTAAATAAGGTACATTAACCAATGTCGATCTTGAAAATAGCTATTAACTAGCTATCTTAATTGCCATTTTATTGAATAATTGCTTTTTATTCAAAATCTGACCCAGATAGGTATATAGGAAACTCTATATATAATAATAACTCCCGTATATAGCGTTTAACGCCTTGGGAGTAGCAAGGTACAGCTTGCTATACTAGAGCCGTTCGGTATACAAGGAAGGTAATGTGGCTAGCACTACGCTTCAACCGCCTATTATTACCTCAGGATTGTGAATCCCAAGTACTCATTTAAGGCTGAGTCGACCTAGGTACCCAAACTATTTTTATTTTAATAAAAATAGACGGCTGATGAAATGCCGGGTGTGGGAATCGAACCCACACCTTGGGATTGGTAGACGAGAGCCTGTACCTCTATGCCACCGGGCACCACGAGAGGAAACTCTAATATAGATTAAAAGAGCATTTAAATATGTTTCTATTTATTATAAAAAATTCAGGGTGTTACATTTGAAATAACGAGGTTTTTATGTAAAATAAATATTTAAAATAGACCAGCAGTTTTTGATATCCCTGTATATATTTAAGGAAGCAACAGTATTTTTCAGTAAAGTTTATTTTTCTACCTTTAAACTCAACAAAAGAATTAATTCTGAAAAGTAATATAGAGGGTGCTGATAATCTTTTCTGTTATAGCTTGCATATTTAAATATCTTTGAATATCTCAAAAACTAACGTTTTTAAATATAATTAATCCTTATAATAATATATGTACCTATATTTCAAAATAATTTTAAATTATGCACTATACCTTTCCACATTATATACCCATAAAAATTTGTCTCAACATCTTTCCGTTTTCACTTTCCACCCTGTATTAGCAACTAAATCTAAATTTACATTTCTAAGGCTATTTTGGCTCATATAAAAGTAATGATAGTGTAATGGTATTTGATGATGTTATGATGCTTAGAATAAGTTTTCAAAAAAAGATTTTTATTATTCATAAATATGTTTTGAATAATAAAATATTTATGAATAATTAGAGAGACAGAAAAAAAAACAAATATTATACTGACATTTCTATCGTTAAAAATTCAACCTATGTAGATACACAATATTTTTGATGTGACATATTTTGTTAATAACTTATCTTGACTATTTGGTGAAGGAAATAAATGTTGAAACTCAAAACTTTAACAATATTGGCAATATTGGCATTTAAATTCGAAGTTTATTAATTAAAAATGATGATATAAAATAAAAATAAACAATTATCTTGGTTTAAAGAGCAACCTTGGAAGTCTTATTCACCTTGAGAAATGTCTCCACAATATTTAAGATGAAAACAAAAATGTACTTATTTTATTCTCACGTTTAGTAGTTAAATAAAAACGAAAATATAATTTTCAGTAATTATCTATGTGTTAATAAAATAACGGAACAAAATATTTTAATTAGAAAATCTATGAATAATAAAATACTAAGGCAATATTACACAAATCAAATATAATATACAGTATGTTTTCGGATTGTCTCTACAAGAGGAGAAACACTATTTTATTATTATAGTCTGTCGAACGAGAAGATCCTTGACAGTGATAAATGTGTCTGTCATTTTAATTTCACAATAGTTTATTTTATTTTACAAAGAAATAAGTTGGTACAACTGGAACGCATAGCAGGAAATTAATATATGTATTTAAAATTTGAATGACAAGTAACTTCAAAATATTGTAAAAAAAAACTGTATAAAACTGAAAAAATGTAATCGAGTTATTTTATTTAATAAAAAACGGTATGTGTTAATACAAAACAAACAAAAACAAGACACCACATACCAAAAAATATAAAAAGAACTATATCTCACTTTCAAGCTTTATGAAACTTTCCGCATTTATGATTATATTATTTATCAATATAACTTATGTACAAATACAAATTTGTAATATTTCGCAGGAATAAATAAAACAACATAAATAAAACAAACTATTTTATTAATAATAACACTTACCAAATTTTATACCTCACAGGTTGATTAATTAACTTTAATCTTAATTTTTTCAAACCAGTACCTTTTGACAATATTTTTCTGCAGTACTAAAATCCATTATTTACTTATCGTGTGATGTCGATATTTTACAGCTACTCCAGTTTTTAGTATGTATGATCATACTAAACGTATGGTCCTTCTACCATATTCGAGATGCACTTATCTACGACGAGATGGTATACGAACTTTATTGATAGTAACTTTATTGGTGTGTCTGTATAAGACTTTCTGCCTGGGCAGCGAGTATTAACCATAAACTGCGCTCTGGGTTCTACAGTGAATTTTCACTCGATTTTTCCTCCACTTGACTTCAAAAGACACAAAACACACGTAATAACACGAATCAAAATGCATCATCTTCCAAAACGCAGGGTATTTGACAAAAGTTGTCACAAAATTATAACCTATAATTTGGCAATACTTTGACAAACGTCAAAAATCTAAAGGCGAGTTCATACGTATCGGCGTCCGTTTGTCGTTCATCGTTCCGTCAAACCAATAAAATTGAAATACGATCTGTCATTTTTGAAATAAACCAATAAAACTGGTTAAAAACAACAAGTGACGACGCATGACGAATTTATATTTTAATCCATCCATAGTTAACTTAAAAATTATTACAAACTTTTTTTAGTAAAATAAATAGATTGGTATGGGACGTCATCTTCTTTTCTTCTGTCATCGTCTGTCGAAATCTTACCTGAGAAAAAAAACAGAGTATAGTTATCTCTGTTATTAGATAACATTTTGAGAAAATTGCATTTTTATTAAAAGTACTAAAAGTCACAACACCTTTCTATGGTAATATAATTTTCGTTGTCATTCCTGTGATAGATAGTTATTATTAATTTTGATTAACGTCATACTTTTTGCTGTGTTAATATGTTAGAGGAGCAAAAATGTATTTAGTTCAATGTTACGGAAAGGGTAATACTAGATATCGCAAACGGTGATACTTTAAGAACAGTAAAAGTATGATATTAATCACATTAATAAAATAAATTATCTGTCAAAGCACGAAAACAAAGATATTACCATAGAAACGCGTTTGATTTTTAGTAAATTCAACCGTATTTTTCCCTTTAGAATAAACAACATTTTTTATAACGAATTCATTTTTTTCAAAATGTTAATAATATAAAGGTTATTCCTCTTGTTAAGACGATTCCAGGACATACAGTATACACTTTCTTAAGCTTTTTTAAACTCTAGGCAAATCCAACCATATTAGCATAATGCTTAATGAGTACAATGTATAGTTAAAAATTCATTGACACGCTGAAAATACAGGGTTGTTCACCACATACGACACGGAGTATTGTAGCTAACCGATTAGATTTTTACAAATTGTAAGTTTTGGGTTCGTTGAAGGACTCTTAGAGCTACAATTTAAAAATGTTTTTACAAGATACAGAGTGTCCCAAATAAGTAAAAAATGTTATAGTTGTATTTTTTTAAATGGAACACCCTGTATATTAATCTATTTTTCGATTCTACGATTGAAATAAAGGTAAATTTGATTAAGATTTATCACAATTAAAACTTACCGTTTTTGAAATATTTTCAATTTTCTGAAATTGCAGTGAAAATTTTAAGGCTTCATTTCTCCAATGGTATCAAAGTTTTTAATACTAAATATTTACTGAAGTTTATTTATTGATCAGATATTGTGTTGCAATAATAAAAATTTTACTACCTTATACAGAGTGTCCAAAAAATTATACTAAATAATTACTAGCTTTAAACGGCAATAACTTGTTTAATTTAAATGGAACACCCTGTATATCTTACGAGAATCAGATGCACAATTTAATTGTCTATCAAATTGTATTATACCGTTTTTTACTTATCTCTTCAAGTTTTCGTATAAAATGCATTTTCTTATACCCATGGAATATTGACATTTTAGCTTATTTTTAAAGATGTAACAAGTTTTTAAAGATGTTACAAATTTTCAAAGGGTACAGATACTAATATTGTCGATATAGTTGGCTTATTTAATTAAAAAATAAAAAAAACTGTTTATATAATTTTTGTTAAAGAGGTCCAATTAATATGATCCCAGTATTCAAACTACATTAATTGACTGTTTACGTTGATTAATAATAATTGCTCCAAATACTATAAAACTGAATTTTGTGTGTTTATTAGACAGTGTGGGAAAAAGTAACACCTTATAAATTTTATTTCATTTTTTGACGAATGCTTATTTATAAAAACAGAGACGTTCATTTTCATAACTTATTATTATTGATTTCTGAGACAAATCCACATTTATTTAGAATATTTTGTTAATTAAAACAATTTAAAAGTATGTAATTAACTAATTTTTAGTGGTGTTTTTGGTCGAAAATAATGGTGGTATATTTAATTGGTATAAGTACTCTTTTACAGTTTAAATATTTTTATTGTATGCCAATGGGCTTGCAATATTTACCACCTGTAAATTTTGTACATATGTGTTGCTAAAAAAATCTCAAATGTCAATATTCCATGGGTATAATGATTTTTTTTTCTTTACAGTAAGGGGCCGTCCTCTGCCGGAAACACTGCGACCTGTGAGGCCTAATGTGTTTGTCCCCTTTCTATATCTGCATCCATTCTCCTATCCCTGTGCCCTGCACTAACTTATGCAGGTCCTTGATAGGATGGGAGCATAGTTCCTCCGGTTCTAGCCTAGCTTTCCCAAATAAAAAGTGTCGCTTGCGATCCAGAGCCTCGCAGTGACATATTATGTGCTCCGCTGTTTCAGATCTTTATCGCAGAGTCTGCAGCAAAGACTTCCTTGATACAGATTGAGCTTGTTCGGGTAACACTTGACAGCCATATGTCCTGTCAAGAAGCCTGTTGTAATCCGCAATTTATTCCTGCTAAGCATTAGCAGTTCTTTTGCGGTTTTGGAGCTAGGTCCTTGGATAAAAGCCTTGCTGTGCCTGTGCCCCTGTCTGTTTCTCCACTGGACATTCTGCTTTTCCCTGATCCAGAGTTTTAGTGCACTACGGGCCATACATTTGGGTATTCCCAGTACTGGCTCTGGACCAAGATAGGATGCCGATGATCCTTGCCTAGCTAGCTCATCGGCTTTTTCGTTGCCTTGGATGCCGCTGTGGCCCGGCACCCAGAATAATTTAATTCTGTTCCTCGTGCCAGAGCTCCCAGTTCACCTAGGCATTCCCAGACGAGTTTCGACGATACCTTTGGGTTCATAAGCGCCCCAAGTGCCGCCTGACTGTCTGAGCATATATTGATGGGTATAGTGATAAATGAGGTCTAAATTATAAGAAAATGCATTTTCTACAAAAACTTGAAGAGATGGGTCAAAAATGGTATACTACAATTTGATAGACAATTACATTGTGCATCTGATTCACGTAAAATATATAGGGTGTTCCATTTAAATTAAACAAGTTATTGCCGTTTAAAGCTAGTAATTATTTAATATAAATTTTTGGACACTCTGTATAAGGTAGTAAAATTTTTATTATTGCAACATAATATCTGATCAATAAATAATCTTCAGTAAATATTTAGTTTTAAAAACGTTGATACCGTTGGAGAAATGAAGCCCTAAAATTTTTACTGCAATTTCAGAAAATTGAAAATATTTCAAAAACGGTAAGGTTTAAGTATGATAAACCTTAATCAAATTTACCTTTATTTCAATCGTAGAATCCCAAAATAGAATAATATACAGGGTGTTCCATTTAAAAAATACAACTATAATATTTTTTACTTATTTGGGACACTCTGTATCTTAGTAGCTACAATACCCCGTGTCGTATGTGGTGAACAACCCTGTATATTCTATTTATGCCTATATAAAATCCCATAACGAATCGATATCCGAAGTCTAAAACTTCACTCAGAATCTCCCAATTAGTTGAATAAATTATTGGTTTCAATTAAAATTTATACTTTTTAGTTTACGATCATTCCATAATGCCTAAAAACATAATTAAAATTAATAGAATATCCTAGCAACAGCTTGCGGTAATCAGTTGTATCCATAGAGAAAGCCTAATATTTAGCTTATAAAATAATAAACTTTTGATTTATAACGATATTTTCTCTTGACGGATGATGATCAAAGGCCAAAATGACATTCCTCGCAAATTTTGAAGTATAATTAGTGAAATTTGTCAACTTTCTCCACTAATTGAAAATTCCTACCACTGATTTTCTGAGAGTTCTGAATGCTTAAATTCAAATTAGAGGATCAAACTACTACGCTAATTGAAACCACTAATTTATTCCACTAATTGCGAGATTCTGAATGAAGCTTAAAGCTTTATTCAGGAACCTTAAAATCAGTGGAATAAATTAGTAGTTTCAATTAGTCGTAGAAGTTTGTTCACCTAATTTTAATGTAAGCATTCAGAACGTCATAATTAGTGGTAGTAATTTTCAATTAGTGGAAAAAGATAACAAACTTTTGACTTTTCCACTAAATATATTTCAAAATTTGCGAGGAATGTCATTTTGGCCTTTGATTATCATCCGTCAAGAAAAATTTTGGTCAGAAATCAAAAGTTTATTGTTTTACTTGTTTTATAAGCTAAATATTATGCTTTCTCTATGGATACAACAAACTACCGCAAACTGTTGCTAGGATATTTTATTAATTTTAATTGTGTTTTTTAGACATTGTCAATGATCGTAAACTAAAAAATATAAAGTGTAATTGAAACCACTAATTTATTCCACTAATTGGGAGGTTCTGAATGAAGTTTTACACTTCGGATATCGATTCGTTATGGGATTTTATATAGGCATAAATAGAATATATTTTCTACGTGTCAGTGAATTTTTAACTATACATCGTAGTCATTATGCATTATGCTAATATGGTCGGATCTACCTAGAGTTAAAAAAAATAGATTGGCGATTGATTATTTTGTATCCAAAGGTTTCAAAATAAACAGTATTTGCAAATTGATTTGTAGCATAAAACTAATTTCCATGATTTTGTTTTAACTGTATATTTAGACTACTGCCAGTGAATGTACACTAATAAGTCTTTTGGCTGGAAGATACGTAGCAATAAAAATGTATGAAGAACTCTACCCCGATGTTACTAAACATGAAATTAACGGCAAACTAGTTGCATACTGTTCTGATCAAGCTCACTCCAGGTAATAGATACAATTTTATTATATTAGTAGAGATGTATGATTTGAGTTTTTGCAGCGTTGAAAAAGCAGCTTTAATCGGCCTTGTGACACTAAGATACATTGATTGTGATGAAAATTATTCTATGAGAGGAAGTAAATTATTGAAAGCTATCAAGCAGGATCGAGAACAGGGACTTATACCTTTTTGGGTAAGCTTTAAAAGTTCAAAATTTATCATTTCAGTCGAACAACTATCTATTCAACATGTTTATTTTTTGTCAATGAGGATATTATGTGTATTGATAGTTTACATACCAAATATCTTGAGAAAGGTTACTCGTAGCGATTTTTATCAATGTAGGCATTTTTTACGTAAAAATGTTTTATTTAGACTCAATAATTTTATACAAGTACGGTCGAAAAGTTATTACTCTTCAAACCAGTTAAAAGATGTAGCTGTCATATTGACACTACAATCAAATTTATCATATCAAAACATTCTCAGACACGAATTTTCATCCAAATATCGACATTAGTTCAGAAATTATTAGGAAAAATCGGAAAAAATTAGAATCCTAATAGAAATAAAAATTAAACTTCTACACCCTGTGCCTCATAAACGAACTATTTTGAAACATAAAATTATAAGAATTTTTTTACTTATTTTAATCTGCAGAATATGCTGCCAAAGTTTCCATCCTATATAGTGCTTTCATCGTCATTATTATCATTTTCAGCTTATTCAACCGTTTCCAATTATGTACGTAGCTTTCTTCATATACTTAGATACTCTCTTTATAATTGGACCCATTATTGTCCATTGTTGGCTAGGCGGGCCCAAGTTATCTCTCTTAATTTCCTAATACCATGGTCCCATCTCAGGTTTGGTCTTCTTCTAGGTCTCTTAATTTCTCGTGGGTACCGTGCTGTAATTTTTGTGGTTCATCTGTGTCAACAGATAGTGCTTTATATCAAGAAAACTTAGTAAAATTTAACAATAGTAAAATTTCGATTTTCTATTTTAGGCCAATTAAATTAGAGGGTTTACTTGAAAAAAAGTGTTGGAAAGCTAATTATGGTCTTGATTTGTTCAGTTGACATGAAAGATAAGTAACCTAGTTTTGCACGGTGGCTCGACCGCCGCTCGACTCAGGAGGGACAAAAGATGGTAAAATTCTTGGACTTTTTTCAGATTTTCGCTTATAGTTCCGAAATGTTGCGTTATAGCTAATATTTTACTATTACAAAAATTAAAGACCATTAAATTCTGCGTATAATGAGTATCAATTCGTTCAATTCGGTACAGAAGTATGGCAGAAATCGGAAGATGAAAAATGGTGATATTTACCTATTTTGCTGATAAAGGCATTAAAGTGCCATTCAAATGTTCGTCACATGGAAATAATCATTCTAAATAATAAACCATACAATAAAAATTAGCATCAAATTAGCATTTTACATCAAGTAATACATACCGAGAAAATAAATATTTTTTTGCGTTCCGTCGTCCAACAATTCTGCGTAGAATGAGTATCAATTCGTTGAATTCGGATCACTAGCATAGCTAAAACTGATGCTTAAAAATAGTTATTTTTAACAGTTTTACCACTTCAAAAGAAGATTTATTATCCAACGACCGCAATAAAAAACATCTAATTAGCATACTCCATAAAAGCTAGATGATGAAGGATTTATTGTAAAAGCAGCAGAGGAAGATGCTGATATACGATTGCCAGACTATCACCAAGTCCAGACGTGGTTGAGACAGGCTAAAAATCCTCCCCAGTGGGGATGAAAAGCAACAAAATACGGCTTGCCACCCATACCCACTATAAAGGAAGTAGCACGTCCAGAAGTACTCAACAGCGTGTCCTACAAATGTTCTAGGGAATGCCGAGGTCGTCGCAGTTGACAGAAACCAGTAGGGGACCAGAAAGCCATTCAGGCTCCCATCCATTCGAAGAGTAACCTAAAATTTAAATTATTTTTTGGTAAAACAACGCTGCGTAGAATGCAGACGCAAATTAGCTTGTGAGTTGCTTTTTTACTCGCGAAATAAATTTGTCGAACACAACATTTCGTTAGGTAAATTTATTTTACAAGTAAAAAGTTACTGACAAGCTAGTTTGCGTCTGGATTAGACGCAGTGGTATTTTACAAAAAAACTTTTATTTCTTTAGGTTTCTATTTCAGTGAAAAAAAATTTTCAAGGACGAATCCGCCATGAAGGTATAGACCTTATCGTGATTGTGGCTTAAGAAGAATGCTTCGTATAATCTAATATTAGGAAAATTTAGTGTATAATAATTTTAATGTTAATTAAATGTACGTATGTATTAGTTTAATTTAGAATATTACTTCTTAAGTAATTTCATTGAGAGTTGGACGGAAAGCGAAAATTTTTTATGGTTTATTATTTAGAATGATCATTTCCGTGTGACGAACATTTGAATGTCACTTTAATGCGTTTATCAGCAAAATTGGTATATATGACCATTCTTCATCTTTCGATTTCTGCCATACTACTGGACCGAACTGAACCAGTTAATACTCATTATACGCAGAATTTAATGGTCTTTAATTTTTGTAATAGTAAAATTTGACTAGAACGCAACATTTCGGAATTATAGGTGAACATCTAGAAAAAGGCAAATAATTTTACCATCTTTAGGTCCTCCTGAGTCGAGCAGCGATCGAGCAACCGTGCTAAATTAGGACACTTATCTTCCATGTCACTGAACAAGTCAAGACTATAATTAGCTTTCCAAAACTTTTTTCCAAGTAACCCCCTATAATAGATCTTATTCGACTGGCTTATTTAATTTTCATTGATATGTGAATTTCATATTACCGATAGATATTCTTTTTATGTCTGTCTTTTTTGTAAACGGCAGAATCTATATATTTTAATTAAATATAATATGTATTTCAAAAAAAGATCGCTTCAAACAAAACGATTTGATTATTTACCATTTTTAATATATTTTTAATTGCCGTATAAATCTAAAATTTTCTTTTCTTTTATAGATTATAAAATGCTGAATTTACAAAACAGAATATTCTATCCAATTGTTCGAAAGACGACAGATATTTTATTGCAAAAATAAAGAGAGCCATCTCGATCTTTTCCATGACATCGAAAAATTATTTTCAAGGGGATTGGTCTTGTTATCTAGCTAAAAGTTTCCTCACAAATGACTAATTAGTGAAATCGTCTTAAAATGGTTGAGATTGCGGAGGCTTAAATCCCTTGTTTGTAATTAATACTGTCCGAGGTTCTCGAACAATCAATTGGTATAGTTATTTCAGTTGCTATTACTGCAATTACTTAGGATTTTCTTACTTACATTTTGATTTCAAAAGTTTATCTTTAATTTTGTGAAAACATAAAAATAATACTTAATACTACACAATCAGTTAAAAAATTCTTCGTTTAATGTTCATTTCGTTGAATATAGGATTATATGAGAATTCCTAGATGCAGCGCTTTTCTTTGTATTTAATCAGCAGTAGATAGGTGGGATTCACAGAGGTTTATTTTGTACCTTAATCGTAGTGATGGACAAACACGGTATATTGAAATTTAAAAGGGCTCAGGTCTTGGACCTGGAATATACCCAATAGGTATTAAATTTGGGTAAATACCATTATACCTGGTATACCTAAGTATACTTACTTTGTTAATTTAAGATACTCTAACACATTTTAACAATTATTTGCTGTTTAATTCGACATTAAAGAAACATCTAAATGGTCAGAAAATCAACAGCTAGTCAAAGAATGCACAGAAGCCAATAAATTATATCAAAAACACGACGGTAGTACTTAGGTAAATAGGGTGAATGCCAGTGGTCGGACAGTTTAGAGAAAGCTGAGTTTAAATTGTTGATTAAATTTTCTTTATTGGTGGCACGGAAATGAAATTTTATGAAATACACTCAGATGCAAAAAAACGCAACATAGAAATTTTTGGTCAAATTTACAGTGTTATTTTTTTTTGTTATTTTTAGCCCTATTTATCATTACTTTTGATGTAATTTTTTAAAAAGACGAGATGGTTTTAATGACTATTGTCGTAACGTCATATTACGCTGCATCGGATACTCTATACTAAATTTAAAAAAAAAAAACGTTAAAGACTAACGATACAGTCCTGGTTTTAATAAACATTAATAATAATAACAGAACTAACGATATTAAGGAAAACAGATGTAATACTGAACTATACAAACAGAAAAAGAAATTGTAAAAAGTACCATAATACTTTGTATTGCCTTCCCTTGCTGCTATAACGACCTGTATACGTTTGTTCATACTGTCATTGAGGCTGCATATATCATATTGCGTTATGTTTTCCCATTCTTCTTTAAGGACCAAGCGAAGTTTATTTAATGAAACTGGTAACGCTTCGCGGCCTCTAACCGTCCTGCCAAGCATTTTCCAAACGGCGAACATGATGGGCAGATCATAGTAGTATATAGTTTACAATAATCACCAAAGCTGCCTTGTTATATTGAAAAAAAAATTCGAAAATAAATTATAACTGAAAAAATTGCAAATTATTGGTGGCAAGTTCATTTTGCTCTTAAAAATTCTTAAAAAGTAACCATGTATTGACATGAGCCAAAAAACAAAATGCCCAGGAGACATGGTTCTGACCCTAAAATTATATTTTAGGGTCAGTAAACTATCTTACCTTCATCTTTAACAGACAAAAATTAGTAAGCACAAACATATGGTCACTTTCCCGAATTTTTAACGGTTTCAGGGTGACAATTTAGACAAAGAAAATGTTATAATAGAACAAAGCGGAAGAATTGGCAGAATTGGGTTTTTAATTACAGTAAAACCCCGGTTATCCGAGGTAACGGGGAGGACACCCTCCTCGGATAACTGAAAACTCGGATAATCCGGATTTATTAAAAAATAAGCACCAATACATACTTTAAACGGTTTATTAACATTTTTAACATGTAAATACATAAGTACCTACATATGTAGATACTATCTACATTATAAAACAGTGAAATAAGTATCTATGCGCTGCTGTTTCATATTGCATCTTCTTTTTCTCGCTGCCATATTTCTCCACCTGTTAAGAAGAAGCAAATCCGCTGGGGTTGCCTCTGATTGTTGTTCAATATACCTCAGAGCTGTTTCCAGGGAAGCAAAACCTTCTTGATGGGTAATCTTAGTGGAAGGCTGTTCATCCACCTCTTCGTCATAGTTATCGTCATCTGATTTTTCGGTTTCTCGAAAAGCGTTCGCTATTTCTTCAATAGTCATTTCTTCTTCTAAATCATCTGCTGTAACCCATTCATCAACGCCTTGTCTTGTCACATTTTCGCAACCTTTTAAGTTTTGCATTAATTCTAATAAACTTTCTTGTTCTTCTGTCTCATTTAAATTTGTACAGGACCTTTCCATCCAGAACTGCTGGTAACCCTATCTGTCTCTGGAAATTGTTTACTAATCGTTATTGCTTTTTGCTGCAAAATGGGACCTGACAGAGGCACACCTTTTGATCTTTGCTGAGTAAACCACGTGAATAAAGCTTCGTTAGCTTTTTCATAGTCGCCTTTTTTCATTGATTTTCTTCTTGAAGATGAAGAGGCTTGTTTTATACACCATTCTTCTATTTTAGTGCCGTTTCTGTTCCAATCTCCAACTGTTACCTCACCTACTCCACAATCTCGTGCAACAGTTTTAATTGTCTCTCCTGCTTGAATTCTCCTAATGGCTTTTATTTTTTCTTCAATAGGAACGACAATTCTTTTACGTTTGTTTCGTTCCATTATAATACGACAAACGAAAATTTAAACAAAGTAGTTGGTATACACTTAACTAGAACTCCACCCAGATAAATCATGCGAGTACATACGAATACTACTTCTCCGTAGTGAACGCAATAACGAGCTACATTCATTCAAATTTACATGCTAAAAGAGTTCAAAAATATAAATAAGGAGAACCACTCACACGGGCCAAGGGGATTCCCCGTGGGTCCCAACGATTTTAAACGGTAATATGTAAATATACATAGGGTATATTTTAGAAGATCGGTTAATACGGAGCATAGACGCGCGACCTCGGATAATCAGGGTCTTTAGATTGGATCGGTTAATCCGGAGCTCGGATAATTGCGACTCGGATAATTGGGGTTCTACTGTATTTGAAGCAATACTATAAGCCATATTTTTAACTTATTTCCCAATAAATACGTTGTGTCCGACCACTGGTGCATGCCTGACTACTGGCATATTCACCCTACCTTAATTTTATAAGGAGATTCCCTGAAAATTGAATAGTAAATAGTAACCCGGTATAATACCTAGAATATATCAGTGTATACTGGGTGTCAGTATATAATATTCCACACAAAATACAAAACGTAAAACAGTGTATAATTTAAGAATTCTTGGGCACAATGCCATTTTGAGAATAAATGTCCTTCGATAAATGCAGCTTTGTTAAGAGTCTATTAAGCTGTACACAAGGGCTGTACTGTTCTGGATACTCTCAGGGGTTAGGTAAAGTGGGTGTGTGGCCGAAGGAAATATATATTATATATCAGAAATCTGCCTAAGGCTTAGCCCGATCCTGTCGTGTTAAGTCACACCCAATATTCCAAACACACGTGCTTTGATTAATGCTTGATTAAGGTTTGTAGACCTTCAGCAGTTGCCAAGCGCAGTAGGTTGCAGTAGCGAGCAATTTGTTAGAAAACCGTATAAATTATATATCACTGCAATCACACAACTTCTATCTATTTCCGTATTGTAACGAAATTTTAAATTATTTCTTTATTTTCGAGAAAATTTAGTTCAAACATAAGGAATATTTTGTTGCTGTTTGACCATCAAAATCTTAAAAATAAAGGAGTTGTCTAAAATATGCTACAATATGGATATATTATAATCCTTTATCTATAATTTCATTCTTTATTTATGTAAAAATACCTGGCCATTTTTACATAAAACGTTAAATGCCGAACGCTTATTTCACTACTTTTTCAGACAAGTGAAATGGAATGGAAATGAAAAGTTACTTTGTGAAATCTTTACTAATATATAAAATCCTTAAGTGACTGACATACTGATTAATCACGATCCTGCTCAAACCACTCAACATAAGAAGCTCAATTTTGGCATACAGGTTGATTCTAGGATGTGGAGGTTCGATAAGAGGGGATTTTTCGAAATTCCAATTCCAAGAGGGTGAAAGCACCCCTCTAATATTATAATATTTTTAATTTAAAAAAATGGTCAGGTTTCCGAAAAAACGCTAAACACGTATATTTTATTTTGTTTTTTTACATATTTTAAGATTTTTTAAAAATGTATACAGGTTGTTTCGAAAAATCTGGTCATTGATTAATCACGATCCTGCTTAAAGCGCTTGACGTAAAAAGCTGATTTTTGGAAAACAGATTGACTTTAGGGTGTAGAGATTTGATAAGAAGGGATTTTTCGAAACTCGAATTCTAAGGGGGTGAAACTATCCCTCAAATATTAAAATATTTTTTATTTAAAAACCGGTGAGTTTTTCGGAAAAAATCTTAAACACGTATATTTTATTTTGTTGTTTTACATATTTTAAGATTTTTTATAAATTTATACAGGGTGTTTCATAAAACATGACCATTGAGTAATCACGATTCTGCTTAAACTGCTTGACGTTTAAAGCTGATTTTTGGCAAACGGATTGACTGTGGGGTGTAGAGATTCGATAAGGAGGGGTTTCTCAATTCCAAGAGGTTGAAAACGCCCCTCAGATATTACAATATTTGTTATTTAAAAAACGGTTAGTCTTTCGGGAAAACGCTGGGACAAGCATAATTTATTTGGTTTTTTTACATATTTTGGAATTTTTGCCATTTTTGGAACATTTGCCATGGAAACTTGGGTAATTTCTTAACCACGATTCTGCTTGACGTAAAAAGCTTATGTTTGGCACACCGATTTTTCGAAAGTCAAATTCCAACGAAATGAAACTACCCCTCAAATATTACCAAGTTATATAATAATATCGCCATATTGTTTTTTCTCATGCTGACATAAATGTGAGAAAATTTTATCCAGTTTGTATGTCAATGGAAATGCTTGCTTTGCTTTATCATCACCATTACAAATGATTAATTCGACGCGAACGAAGTCGCTGGTACACGCTAGTTACATAATATAAAATAACTGTACTCGTGCACTTAGAGTTTGATCAACGATTTGATTCATTTTAGCTAAATTGTTAGCTGTTGTTACCGAAAATTTTAAAATTACTAAATTTTATTGCATTCTAAATTTTTATTTTTTACTGGCATTTTTCAGGTATGCGCTACTTTGGGTACTACCGGTGCTTGCGCCTTTGATAATTTAGAGGAAATCACGGAAGTTTGTTATAACGAACTTTTGTGGTGCCACGTGGATGCGGCTTACGCTGGATCAGCCTTTACCTGTCCGGAATACCGAATTTGGCTGAAAGGGATTGATAAAGCGAACTCCATCGCCTTTAATCCTTCCAAATGGCTCATGGTTCATTTTGATTGCACTGCCATGTGGTACTGTATCCTGTTTTATTAAAAAAAATATTTAACTAGTATTTTTTGTACTGTTTCTAGGGTTAAGAACAGCAGCGCTTTGCATGGAGCTTTTAACGTCAATCCTCTGTATTTAACACATGAATATTCAGGTAATATAACTAACCATTTTAATACAATAATGCTTCTAATATTAAATTGCAATAACATATTCCAATATGAATTTATTTTGAATTTTATTATACTTTGGTTTAATTAAATTTTCCTTTTTCCAACTTTATGGAAAATGGATGGAAAATTACGTATATGTTATTGATATACGTTTCTATCATTTTCTTGACTGTTTTTTTTATATTTCAAAGTAATAGGTATTAATAATAGAGCAAAATAAGACTCGTATAAATTATAAAAATATGTTCGAATTGCAATATTAATAAGGAATATACAGGTTTTCCCAATTCCATCATAGAACTACTAACGTATTTTTGGAATCAAAATAAGTTCATTGGACACAATTTACTTCTTTTTATATCTCTATCTATATTTTATATATGCAGTATAAATATTTTCCAACTCCTCCGATAACCGATTTTTTTTTCGTTAAACGGTCATTCTAGTACAATTTACTACATATTTTGTCTTGTAAAAAACCTACCATCGCAGAGTTTTTGAGAAAAAAAGATTGCAGTTTCTTTTTCAAAATCAGACCTACAAAATATACAAGGAGTTTCAATATTCCGTGGATATCTTTTAAATCAAAATAAGTTAATTGCACACAATTTACCTCTATACGCAAACAACTTCAACTACCTACTTCAAATAATAAAGGCATTTTGAAAAAGCAATTAAAAGATAAAAAAAAAACGCTGCTAAGACTATCAAAATGTTGATCTAATAACAATTTGACGTTTATACTATTACGTCAAAAGCAACTTTTTTCCAAAGCTTACCATTACTTCACAGAATCATCGTTTCTTGTTCACTGTTATTAATATCTTAATTATTAGATATTAATACATCTGGTATTATAGTATTCTGGTATTTCGTCGATTTTAAAATAAACTAAATGTTTCTATCTTATTTCTTTGTTAGAATGGGCATAATCAAGCGGGCTACTGATACCGTGTTGTAAAAATAAGGTAATTAAGGGCTTATTTTTTGATATTTATTATAATTTTGCTAATATCTTCGATTTGAAAGAGGATATCAAGATGCGGTTTTCGCTGACTTTTTAAGCTTTTACTACTCTTTACTATCAGCTAAAATTACATATACTATCGTATTTATTTTTTTTTGAAAAAAACGCGCTATGTTTGTTAAATTGTAAGAAAGCGCCCCCTAGCGTCTACGTTCAAAACCTTATTATTATTATTTTTATGGTATAATATATAGTAAGAAACGCTCATTTAAACGAGCCCTCGTTTGTTGGTTTCTGATTATCCAGTCCGGAGTTATTAACATTTAAATAAAGATAGATCTAACCTTCCCCCACCACTTTATTTTAGCAGATAAGGGAAAATGGTTCTAACAAGAAAAATTCAAAATTTACTGAAGATTATGAAGCTATTATTTATAGTACCCCTTACCTAGGCAAAATTTTATAAAAATTCTATTTTTCTATTTTCCATAGCAGTTGCGCCCTCTAGCGGCCGTTTTACAAACTTGAAAATAATTTCCAGCAATTTCTCATAGCCCCTTTAGTTATATTTTTCAGAGTACTTTAGAATAATACTTTCCGAGATACAGCCGAGAGCTATTCTTAGTGGGACACCCTGTACAATGAACTTATTTTATTTCAAAGATACGTAGTAGTTCTATGTCCACGGAATATTGGAAAACCCTGTATATATAATATTTTAGGTAATTGATTAATATGTAATTATAGCAGTTAAATTGTTAATGGTAATAAGTAAATAAATTCATTCACATAGTTTTTGACCGAATTCATTATATTTAGGTCTGGCTATTGATTATATGGTAGGTATTTAAACTTTGTAGTTTTTATAGAGTAGTCTCAATTTTTTTTTGAATGAAGCTCCATAATGGAGCTCAGAACCCGATTTGTTATGTAGCATGAGATTGCACATATCTAGATATGGACGTACATTTCCATGCAAATGGATCTTATGTCGGCAGACTGGTTATTAATGGCTGTGGTAATATCTTCGATTTAGTTTGATTAACTTTTTTTAAAAGGTTTGAAATAACATGAATACAAAAAATTGTATATGTTATGTTATTAACGATATCTTTATATCTTTAGGATTTTTAAAAAGTCTAATCACACGGTTTCTAGGATTGTTTTATTACTATGTTTCTAGTTTACCAAACTTCAAAACCTTTAAGGAAATTGTTATCTTCATTATGACAACTACCAGTGTTCGATTATGACGGCCAGTTTTATAGCATTTGGTTAATGTTCAGGTAATAGTTAATCTTGAGATTTTCTATCAAAGTAAGTTTTATGGGTTGCGATAAACTGCAATCTGCTTCAGTCTTAAGTTTTAACTCCTACTGGTGGATAGAGTGAAGTTAAACTACAATTTGAAAATTGAAGTATGGGCAGTAATATTTGTTTATTCTGAACTGGTTGTTTTTGGTTTACATATATTTTTTTATCGGGCGATTATTGGTTTATTTATTTCATTCTCTTAATTTTGGTTTATTGACATCGACGAACTATTTTAAGTATTTGATGAATTATTTTAAATTTCACACGTTTCACACTCTTAAAGAAACATAAAAATAATAGCATATACGCCACCAATAATATCAGTGCAGTTGATAATGATACTAAAGATATATCAATCTCTCATGAAGTTAGCTACTATCATTTAACTGACATGTATAACATTGAATTAAAGAAAAGAGTTTCCAGTTTAAACAAAGAGATCCAACTTAGATTACTTAACACTTACTAACTTATTTACCAACTCAAACTTAGATTAATCTTAAGTTTTGCCAGAAGGTTTGAAACTGGGCCTAAATAATAAGTGTTTTCTGTTACTTTATTATATGTATTTTTTCTTTTTGATAGCACTGGCAAATTCCTCTCAGCAAACGATTTCGTGCTCTAAAATTATGGTTTGTCATCCGAAATTATGGCATCACTGGCATTCAAGAGCACATAAGAAAAGGCGTGCACATGGCTGAAAAGTTTGAATTGTTTGTCCGGAACGATCCCCGGTTTGAAATTCCCGCCAAGCGCCATTTAGGTTTGGTTGTGTTCCGATTGGTGGGTGATAATTTCATCACCGAAACGCTGTGTAAACGGCTAAATTCTCGAGGTAACATACACTGTGTACCGGCAAACTTAAAGGGAAAATACGTCATTAGATTTACTGTAACTTCGCCGAGGACAACTCTTGAAGATATCATTACTGACTGGAAGGAAATAGTGGGGGTTGCCAATATTATCCTGCAGGAGAGAGATAAATATATGAGAAAAACAAAGGTTCCTTTAGGAGGTAAATTACCTACTAATCAAAATAATATTTTATACTGTAATATATTAGTGAGCTATTTTACGACCAAGAAATAAACTTATCCTTTCAGGAAACGTTATACATATTCAATTTAATTCATATTCAGGGTGTTTCAAAAAACATGAGCCATCTCTCGTGGGGATATTCCTGACGTAAAAATAGGAAAGAAATTGCTTTATTGTCATAAAAAAATTTTACAATTTTGTTGACAAAGCTTAAAAAAGAATATAAAAAGCATACAAAACTTCACTTAACAATAGAAAAACATATAAAACTAACAGCAAACATACAAAACTAAAACAATACTTTATACAATTATAGAAATTGTACATTGTCAAAAATTTATTTAATTAAATATAAATAAAATATAAACATACATGTAAATAAACAACTCTATATAATGTCAATACTAAATTTAAATGGATAGAAAACAAAATCATTTCTTAAATTTAGTGAATGTGTGTTAAATTTAGAACCCTAGATATTAATAAAAAAATCGTTAACCGCGTAAAAGGCTTTCTCCAGTAAGTATGATCTCAAGGCTCTGCGAAATGCAGGAAAGGATGAAATGGAATTAATTTCAGATGGCAGATGATTGTGCATTTTTTTTTGCATTGTACAATATGGAACTCTTTACTAACTCAGAGTGAGGGGTTGGCAGATACATGTTATGCTCTGCGTTCCTAATTGGATAGCCATGAACTGGCCCTAGAGAAATACTCGATACGTGCTTGCGAACTAGGCAGACGGATTCGAGTATGAATAGGGAAGGAAGAGTTAATATTTTATATCTTTTAAACAAGTCCCGGCAGTGAGCACGACTGGTTAGCCTCAGTGAATATCGCACAGCTCTCTTTTGTAATTTGAAGATACGCTCAAATTGAGTCGCACAACACGCACCCCAGAATGGAAGTGCGTATCGGAGATGCGACTCAAAAAGGGCATAATAGACTGTCCTAGATGTTGACAAATTAAGCACATTAGCAACTGATCTAAGTGCGAAACAGGCAGAACTTAATTTTTTAGCTAAAGCATCGATGTGCAAATCCCATTTTAAATAGTTGTCCACAACAAGGCCTAAAAATTTCACAGAATCAACGACGTCAATGGTGGTATTATCAAGTTGAAAAGGTAGCAACGTACTTTTATATGATAAGACTTTAGTTTTAGAGACGTTGAGACACAGATAATTAGAATCGCACCATGTTTTTATGTTGATTAAGTCACTGGAAATGGTTCTATGAAGTGCCGTGGTGTCCGGGCTGCTCCATGTGAAACAAGTATCATCCGCGAAGAGACAGATTTTACCACTGATGTCCAGACTAGCAATATCGTTGATAAACAACAGAAACAAAATAGGACCTAGCACTGAGCCCTGAGGTACTCCGCATTCTATTGGCTTGCAAGAAGACACAGTCTTATCAACCCTCACACGCTGGTTTCTGTTGTTAAGGTAGGACTTAAACCATTCAAGAGGCGTTCCCCTGATACCATAGTACTGCAATTTGTTAGTAGGATGTTATGATTAACACAATCGAAAGCTTTCGAGAAATCACAGAAAATTGTTGCTGTAACGAGACGGTTGTTCAGACTGGGTATACATTATTAAACAGCGAAAACATAGCGTCATTTGTACATTTGTTACTCAAGAACCCAAACTGAAAGGGGTGAGTATTTTGTATTTTAGAAGAAATGATACAAGCCTCTTTTTAACCAGTCTCTCCATGATCTTCGATAACGTGGGAAGGAGTGCAATTGGACGATAGTTGGAAGCTTGCTCTTTATCACCTCCTTTATGCAAAGGAATAATTATCGCCGACTTAAGGCAATTTGGAAAAGCACCATCTTCAAATGACATATTAATTAAGGCTGAAAGATGGTTTAATGTACATTCCGGCATACTAGAGAACATTTTAAGAGTAAGTCCGTCAGTCCCTGCTGAAGATTTATTTTTAATATCATTTAATGTATTGCGAAGCTCTGCCAACCCCACAGGCGTAAGGAAGAAACTGTGCAAATTAACATTATAGTCAGAGAGAAATGATAGAGGATCAAGGGAGGGTGAGATAGTATTCACTATATTCTTCGCCACATTTACAAAGTAATTGTTTAGGTCCTAATAAGATTTATTTTTCATATCAACATAAGTCCAATTCTGCTTTGTTTTGTTCTACAGGGGGTTAAAATCTTCATATTTTTTTAAATGTATTATAATTTTCTTCTAAGTACCTACTTCTAGCGTTTTGAATGAAATTTGAGGGCAAAAGTTGCTTTAAAAGCGACATATTTTAAAGCTAAGAAAGTGTCGACATATTCACCAGGGACGTGCATATAGGTTATCACTGGACTACTTTTCTAAAAAAAGCATGTACACCACTAACCTTGTCCTCTTGTTAACGAAATAATGTAAGCAGTTTAAAAGTTGTCTTTTGATATTTTGTCAATTTTGGGCTCCTTGATGAGATAAACACAATTTTATTAAATTGTCTTGATCCAAGTCTAATGCAACTTTTAAAGAATTTTAATCATTAACTTGCGAAAGTTTTAAATAAGTCCTCATTAAAAATATGAAAAAGGGTTCCTATAAACATGGGTATGGAAATGCATAGTTTTACAGTTACAGGATGTTACAAAATTTTAAAATTAGGTTTTTTGTAATTATCTTAAATACCATTATTTTTTATTTGAAATTGCTGTAGGTTGGCCTAATGGTAATAATGACTAATGGTAATAATATTTAATAGTAAATTAGGTAAAATATATAATTTATTAATTTTGTTTTTAATTTAATTTTATTAATTGTGGTTAATAAAATTGCAATTGTCTCATCAAGGAGGCCGATTTCGACAAAATATCAAAAGCTAAATTTTAACTGGCATTAAACGGCCTACATAATTTTGATATCTAAAGAGAAAAAAGCCAGTGGCGCACATGTTTTTTTTAAATATACCAGTGATAACAATTTATCGACACTTTTTTAGTCGTTTTTTTACCCTCAAGATTTCATTTGAATCACTAAGGGTGACGCAAATAAATCGAAAGATTATTAAGATTTTAACACCTTGTAGATACGAAACAAAACCCAAACGGACCTATGTTGATATGACAAATAAATCTTACTTTTAAGTAAGGAATCTCTCCACGGAGATGGTACATGTATTTTAACACGATAAATAAAACACCACAGTAATTAAAACACCCTGTATAATAAAGAAGACTAAAACATTCTATTTGATTCTATTTTTTTTATTTTATTTATTTTCTCTTATATTGGTTTCCATTTATTACTTATATTCATTGAAAGTAACTGGGACTTATAATATGTCCATTCTTTCATCTTTTACCCTCTATGCAATGCCTGTTTATTTTGCGTAATCATGTTTTGATTATTTTTAGAAACAAGGGACAAGAATGAAAATTTTGGATCCAGTTTATTGCTTTCTAACGTTCCAATGTCACCAAAAATAGTAAACGGATCATTTGCTGCAATATACGATCAAGGAGATGTTCTGGAACAGTTCTCAAAAACAATAAAACTTAGAAAAGATGCTCAAGACAGTCCTGGTATACATATACTACTATTACCTTGACATTAATAATATATATTTATAATTTTTTGTAGCAATGAGAAGAAGAATTAAAGGTATATTAATGTCAGGAAAGCAGTTTTCTTTGGATTCAAGGCTAGATTTGTTTCATGGCATTGAAACATCACCTACCCTAAAGACACCACTGGAGAACTTACCAGTTTTGGAAGACTCTTCCGAGACAGAAGATAAAAGCAACAGTACTTCAGGTAAAATATTATTTGAATGAAATTCAATCGCAAATTTCAATGTAAAAATTTTATGATGACCGGCTGGTACTGAATAGTCTGTGATTATAAATAATTAAGCATATATTACTTTGCACATCAAGTAAATTTTTTAGGCTTGTTGAAATTTATGTAATGACATTTTTTACTTTTGATTACTTTTAGATAACGATTCCAGTCCAAATGCAACAAACAAGGACAATCTTGCCATACCATCAAAGAGACATTCTCGTTCAAAATCTGTAGATCATCAAACTGACATTTCAATCAACAACTGCATGCAAGTTAAAGACGTTTGTCATAAGTGTGGGCATGCGGTGGCAAAACTTCCAAAAAAGACATCTTTCGATATTAAAAAGTAATTGTTATTTGAATGATTAAATTATAACAATAAAGTCAAAATATAATATTGCTGGAGTTTAAGACAGTTGAGAAAGTTAAATAAATTAATATTCAAAAATTGTTTGATGCAAAAATTTAATGAATAATGCCTTATTTATGTTACCTTTTTTATGATAATATAGATATTATATTGCAAAATACCTTTTGTAATTCCTAGATAATGTTTTTATATTATTATCTTTTTAATTACATGTTTATTAAACCACAGCATCGAAAAAATCGTCGTGAGTTTGATTGAAACTAACGATCTTAGTCATTTTAAATGTAAAATTATATAATGTATGTGTTCGATTGTCATTTCCAAGCCAATTTAACGCCGTTTTTTTCGATCAGCATCCAACATTCGGGAAAAGTACATTAGAATAATTCGTATTATGTTGCTAGATGTAATAAAGTGTAATATTTTTTGCTGAACTTTGTTTTTTTGTTATGTGCCAGTAAATTTACTCCTCATTGTATTGTAGTAAGTATTATAAAATATATGTATATTGTAAAAAAATATACCGGATGGTGCACCGGCGCTGGAAACATAGAAAATCCCATGCATATTGAACTATCCAAATATTGGCTTCCCTGTTTATTTTACAGCCAAATCGTAAATGATTTTTAAAGGCCTGCATATATGCTGAATCTTCTTCTTCTTAGGCCGCCGTCTTCCTTCGGAGATTGGCGATCTGGCGAACTGGCTATGATGGTGCGTGAAACCGCACCTCTGAAAATTTCGATCGATGTTCTTCCGAACCAACGACGCAGATCCTTAAGCCAGGAGTTTTGCCTTCTTCCCACTGATCTCCTGCCTTCAATTTTGCCTTCGATGACCAGTCTGAGCACCTCGTATCGATCACCCCTCATGATGTGACCGACGTACTGTAACTTCCTTTCCTTCACTGTTGATAGGAGCTCTTTATCTTTGCCCATCCGCCTGAGCACCTCCTCATTTGTCACTCTATCCATCCAAGATATACGCAGCATACGATGATACAAGTACATCTCAAAAGCGTTAATGCGGTTTTCCCAATGTCTGATTGAGTGTCCAACTCTTAGAGCCGTAGAGAAATACTGAAAAGATGTAGCAATGCAGCATGCGTATGCGAAGTTCGAGGCTTAGATCTCGGCTGGAGAAGAGGGTTTTCATGGAAGCAAATGTACGTCTGGCCTGTTCGATCTTCACTAAAATTTCAGTTTTGGGGTCAGTTTGGTATTGTTGATCAGGGTACCATTGATTTTGATACCATCCTCAATGCTCTTTAGTGCCTCTCGGCATACCGCCTCGGAGTAGATGTCGAAAATGAGTGGGGATAATACACACCCCTGCATGATGCCCTTCCTAATTGCTACTTCATGTTCCGCCATCCGTCCTGATCTCTGCAGTCTGGTTTCAGTATAACTGGGTGATAATGCGCAGGTCCCCCTCATCCACACCGGTGGTTCTAAGAATCTCGGCAGGTTTTTAGTGCGACACACAGTCAAAGGCCTTTCTATAATCTATAAAGCAGGCATATATATTGACGTTCATGTCCCTCCATCGCTGCACGTTCAGTGTAAAAAGTGCCTTGCGCGTGCCAACTCCATTCCTAAATCCAAACTGTGTATCCCTAACCTGCCCTTCGCATCTGTTGTATATACGGGTATGAATTACGCGGAGGAATACTTTGAGGACATGCGACATCAGGCTGATTAACCGGTGGTCCTCACGTTGAGAAGCGTTTGGTTTTTTGGGTAATAGGATAAAAGTGGATTTTAGCCAATCAGTGGGTATCTTGCCGGCTTTGTATATCAAATTAAACAGTTCTGTAAGAATCTTAAGGCTCCTGTCATCTGTATAGGCGATTAGCTTTAGGGTTTACGCGTGGATCTGGTCCGGTCCTACTGTCTTGATTTTCTTCTGAAGATCTATAGCACGTTTGACTTCTTTCTTTGTAATATCAGGACTAGAATCATTTCTAGATATGGATGGTTGATCGGGCCGTGTATCTGCGTAGAGCAACTCAACATACTCCTTTCACCGATCGAGCTTTTCCTCGACACCTACCAAGATTCCATTGTCAGCATTTCTCAGAATACCTTGACACTGTTTACGTGTCTGTTGAATACACATGCCAAATTTGAATAATTTTGGACAAGCCGATTTTACGTAAGAAAAACTACATCTATTTTTAAAGTAAAACTAAACAGGTGTGTTACACTGCAGAAACCAGATTTTTTTCTTATTTATGGGTCGATTGGAACCAAACTAGGCACGTGTATAGCCGGAATGGAGTCCTCAGACGGACAGACGTGCAGACGGACAGACAGATGGAAGTAGGAGAAGTTTTACTTCAAATATGCGCACATAGTGCACACACAATTTTTTTATTTAATAACAGCGTAACCTTCAACATTGAATACTCCCAACCAAAAGGTTAATGGCTTTAATATCTCTGGTTTTTCTTTGAAATATGCTTTTTTTGAACGTTTTCAGTAATGTTCTTAACAAACCTTGTGGCATACCACTCAACGAACCCTTTATAACAAATTTCATGCACCTTTTTAGATTTGTCGGGTAATAAATTTGTCGTAGCTTCATTTCCTATTTCAGTTATATCTGGAGGGGTACCTATAATTTCTTCGTCGCTATCCGAACTCGACATTTTTAACCTGACAACAATATTGCAAAACACGTAATACAATGTTTTCAACTGACAACTTGAAAATTATGACAATTTTCGCCGTCGAAGGACATTCTTGGACAACTATGATTAACCAATTCGAAGCGCGAGGGTTCGATTCCTGGGAAAAGGCAAATATTTTTTAACTTATTAATTTACATAAGACTTTATATGGCAACTAGCAAAAATATACTTGCATTAGAAACAATATTTGGATTAACAAAATCAAGGAACAATTTTTTTCTCTTTTGTTAAACTCGTCATTAATAATGTCAAGGTGCTTTTTGCACTAGTGTAAAAAAATTGATTTTTAATGCAGTAAATGGTGTAAAAAATAGCTACTTTTTGAATAATCGTAAAAAAAAAGTATTATTTCCATGAGCAAAAAGTTACATCAAAAATAATGTGGACTATAAATTACTAACTAAAAATACTATAAAATTAAACTCCGTTCTTACTTTCACGTATTTTATTTCACAACAAAATATTCCAATCTAATTGATATCTTCTTTATAGAAAACTAATTATTTCATAAGGAAAACAATCTTATAAAAACTTATTACAATTTACTAGTACCCTTACTTATAATAATAGATCATGTAGTTCAAGCACATTTATAATATAGATTAAGATTTAGTAGGTACCTCAAAGGATTTCTTTATATTAAAGCTTGGTATTTTAACGGAACAAATTATATTTATACTATAGATAAAAAATGATATACGAACATTATACGTGTGTTAACAAAAATTACTTAAAAAAATTTATAATATTGACTTTTAACGAATATAAACTTGACGTCATATTCAAACCATTTAAAACAAAGATGGTTGAAAGCACATTATTGTACCTGCAAATAATATCTTCGATGGTTAACGCTTAATATACAGGGTAACTTCAATCTATTCTTATTTAGATAAACAATATTTCTGAGCTCTACATAATCCGAGACACCCTGTGTGTATCTTTTATCTAAATATTATTGATAAAATACATAACAAACAAAACAGTTGCATAAAAATACTTTAAATGGAATATAAACGATTCTGAGAAAATAGATATTTGAAAATTTAACTTTAGAAGTCTTTTAGAAGTGATATATATTCGATAGCAGCCGTTTTACTTACTTTTAAGACATATATGTTAAAATACTTTTTTACAAGGAACATTATGCTCAGCTATAGGTATGTATTATATATTTAAAGTTAATAGTAGAATATGAGTATGTTTATTCTGCACAACCTATATGTAATTAGATTTATGATAGTAGTGTTGTTTAGTAAATTACTAGGATAGAAATATTTCTTACTATGCAAAAAATCTGATTAAGTCTAATTCACATTGATTACTAACGTGAATTATTTTAGAAATGTATTAAAAACTATTTTTTTAAATGTTGCTACTATTTGAACATTATAATTCATTTAAGCAATACTGTAGGCATTTTTACTAAGCTTTTTACAAAAGAAGTAGATAGAACAACCTGTCAACAACAAAAAATAGAGATATTCAATTTTCTATAGAGAAAAACTGTACGACCTTGTTTATTGAGTTAGAATTTTTAGTTTTGATATGTTATTTGGCTTCATCTGTGCTGTTACTCTTGTTGGTATATCCTGTGGTGCATTCGAACACGGGACATATGAAATCCCATGTAAACTTTCAAAAGGTGAAATATTATCTTCCCAGATAATTTTATGCAAAAGTTGTATTAGACTTTTTTGAAGAAACGTGAAAGTTGTAATTTTGTCTAGAATTTCTTTTCATTTGGAAAATTCCAAAGTTATTTGCAAAAATCTACCTTTTAATAAGTAAAATTTATAATACGGCCCAGAGAAAGCTACAATTAATATACCTACCTGCAAAAATGTGATTGTGTCATTGTCAAAGTCGATGTAATTTTGTATAAAATAATTAAGATTTTCGCAACTTTTGAAAAAGTTACGATGGTTAAGCGGCATTTTGTTGAAAATAGTATTCCCGCTGTGTTAGATTTGATCGCAGCCCAGTCTCTGCAATGCCTATACCGAACAAGTCCACAGTTTAAAGAATAAACTAGGCAGAGGTTTGAAACTAAAGACACGGTATTAAGCATATGGAAGTCTGAAGACAAAAATAATTAAACAGGAAGAAAACAACAATAACTTGAATATTCTTCATATTGAATAAAATAAAAACATTGACTCCCGTCTATTGGGGTTACAGTAGAAAAAGACCACAGGCGATCTTTCGCCAAACGACTTCCTTGCGGAAAACACTCAAAAACCATCTTTATGGGCATATTAAATACAGAAACTTAGAGGAACTGAAAACGACATCTCTGTGGAATGCAGTGGCGTAACAACAGACTTACGGGCCTGTGTGCAAAAATTTTACCGGGCCCCCTATTACACCTACATATTTCAATACTTATAATGTATAATTAGTATGGTATACTAATCTGAATAATATGCATTCATATTTTAGGTTAGAGTTAGAAATAACATTATCAAATTAATTTTTATACGTATAGTATTATTTATTACTGCAACACAGAATATGTAACCCAAAATATATAAAATATCAAATAAATAAAAACAAAACAATAAACAACAACAAAACTAACAAAATTAAAATAAACAATGTAAATAGGAACATGAACATGTTAAAATTATTTTTTCCGTGCTTTAGCATGGGCGAAAGTTGACACAATATTACCCTTGTATTATTACCAATGTCTATTGTACGAGTAACTTCATTTTCTATTGAAATAATTGCCAAAAAAAGTGGCAGTTTCGGGCACCTCTCGTAACTCAGCTGCCTTATCGTCCCCTTAATACAACCATTAGGTAACTAGAGTTTTTGTGATTTTGAGTTAACTAGTTTGACCAGTATAATTTTTCATGCTCTTTTTGATGCTACAACTAGCTTAGTTCTATTTCTATTCGATGTGCAGAAATCCAGCGACAATACAGCAAATTTCCTTTTTTGTCAAATTTAATGCTCTAATGAAAAATCACATATTTCCAATTATTTTTATTTTGCAAAATAAAAAGGAAAACACAGCTACAAAATTGCACAAGAACAAGTGTAAAGTAATAAGTGATTTTCGCGATAGCGTGTGCTAGTTAAGTAAATTTTACTGGACAGTCTATATTTCGTGAAGTTCTTTTGCGGCTCGCTTCCCTATTTTTCTTTTGTTTGCCATCAAAATGGTAGTGATAAAACCTTCTAAATGCTTATTAGACGTAGTCTCAGAAAATGTTTTTGGAACTCTTTCAAAAATTTCTCTTCTAACATTTACCAAGGCAGTTATCCGTTCTATAATTAAATAAAAATAAACTAAAATTTACTCGCTAAGCAGTTTTAAGCTTCCATGCCGATAATAGAATGATTGGAGCCTTAATGAAGAGTAAGTTAAGTTTTAAGACTTATCGCAAGTACCGTATGATCGAAAGAAACAGCGGCTAGTTGGTTTGGTAACGACGATCATTGACATTCCTTATATAATTTTACATACAAAATGACAGCTATCTTTATTTCCATGCCAGCTCTGACGCAATTTTTTTCAATCGTATGGTTTGGAAATGAAAGCGCATAAGACTTGCGTAGTATAAACAAAAGCTGCGCTATTACTATTTATTTTATATTAATAATACATTAACAGCATTACTGTTATTATTTAATATCTCTTCAAAAAGCAGCATCTACTATCTAAAATCTGTTTTTATCAGTAATCTGCAACCTCTGTTTATTGGAGACTATTTATTTATCAGGTACAGCTGGTAATGTCTTAAAATCCATGTTTTTAAATTATCAATCTGCTCGAAATGTGCTAATCACTGGAAAACAATGAAAACCAATACAGACGATTACTGATTGATCATAAAAAATTCCGAATACTCATTACAGATGCAGATCAAATTAATCCGATTTACAAACTTGCGAAGAAAGTATCAATATTTTGAGCGCATCGTAAATCGCCGACGTATTAGACTAATACGTCGGCGATTTACGCAGCACCCGAACTATACCGAGCGGCTAATGTGTCGGCGAATTCCGAATATGCGCCCGGGCCCGTGTGCTTCGCACTCACGGCACATCGATAGTTACGCTACTGGTGGAATGCTGCGTGGTGGCCTGAATTTTACAATCATTTGGGGTATTGTTTGGCTGTGAATGGGGGATTATGTACACATTTTAATAATTAGTATAGTTTAATAAAGTTCCTTTTAAGAAATATTTGTAACTATATATCTTTTATTTGTTAAAGTATTGTGGATGTATGTGGTATAAGCAAGGCCTGCGAGTGATCGAGTAATGAACAGCAATCAAGTCATACTCCGCGAATACTATTCTCAGTTCCACTAGTTCTTTTGTAGATGATCATTCCAATTCAGAAAAAAATAACCATCCTTTCCGAACCACATAATCTGTTGTAAACAAAAAAAAAATGTGACATGAATTTGATGTGAATTTGATAACGATAAAATCATATTTTTGCTGGTATTTTAATTGTAGCTTTTTTTGAGCCTTATTATACATTTTTAGTAATTTGAAGGTAGATTTTTTAGTAATTTGAAGGCGTACTTTTAGACGCCTATTCCAAATAAAACGAAATTCTAGAAGAAAGTTCAAAAGATTAACGCCTCTTCAAAAAGGTCTAATATAATCAAATTATTGTATAAAATCATCTGGGGAGATAATATTTTAACTTTTCAAAATTTACATGAGATTTCCTATGTTTGTGTTCCGATGCACCACACGGTATAAATAAATATTCTTAAAAATATACGAACAACCATTAAGTATACGATTTTAAATGTATCAGAAATTAACATTACATATCTTAAAAAATGTTTAAATAATATGTTAACGTTAATCATATTCTGATTTATGATATAATTATTATAAATTAATTTAATACATACTTATAAATATACTAAACGACACACTAGCATTTATTTGTATAAGAAACAGTAGAAAATATAGTACAACATCAATCATATGTTAACAGTTCACAGTAACTAAGATCTTATTTAATATTAATTGCCTGCAGTTTATAATTACATTGTTTTACGATGGAAATAAAACTAAAAAATATTTTATTTACAACCATATTATATGGTGATATTCTCGGTGATATTATTATACAGGGTGTCAAAAAATTAGTGTGTCTAACTTCGGTTGGTGATTCTAGAGATAAAAATAAAACACAAATTTCCAATAAACATATACCCTAAAATGCTTCTTGAAGTTAGAGTCTTCGAAATGGTACATAAAAATAATACAAAATTTAGTTTTTAGTTAAAAATAATATATTTTGTTTATTTTTAAGAACATGGTAAATTATTTTTCTTGAAATTTGGTAGTCTTACACACATTTTAATACGAAATCGAATGGCGATAGTGTACAATAAAAATACAATGAAAAATTGGTGGTACCTCTATTATCCTTATAGATACAGTAATTTCAACAAATAAGACTTAATACTACGACTTTTTTATGTAAATAAAGTGCTCGTCGTTTAGTTCGAAACGGTAAACGGTTTTCAAGATATTTGCGTTTAAACGTTCCGACGTATCAATTAAAATTGATACGTCGGATTGATTCGCTAAAGCATTAGCGAAATCAGAAGGTTAATTTATTTAAAATTTCTTTATACTTTAACATTTCTCTACAATACTAAAATCGATGCATCGTAACCTTTAAACGCAAATATCTTGAAAATCGTTCACCGTTTCAAATTAAATACAGAGCACTTATTTACGTAAAAAAGGTCTAGCTATTAATGGCATATTATGTTGAAATTACTGTACCTACAAGGATAAAAGAGGTACCACCAGTAGTACCCTAATGGAAAGTACCCTTTTTGAGGGGTGTTACGGAAGTTTAATAATTAAAATGTGAGTAGGAGTACCAAATTTCAGGAGAAACGGTATAAAAATGTTCTTAAAAATAAACAAAATATATTATTTTTATTTATAACCTTTGTAACATCTTCGGGGACAATTTTAGGGCATATGTTAAAAGGAACTTTTTGTTTTATATCTATCTGCAGAATCACTTACCGAAGTTAGATACACTATTTTTTTCACACCCTTTATAATGTTAACATAACTTTAAAATTTTGTGTCACACTATCAACCTTTACTTCTCTCTTTTATTTCTCTTATTTATGTGCCTTACCATTACAGGCCATTACTTAAAGAAGCTGCAGATTCTTCAAATTATAGTACGGTACCAATATAAAAATCTTGGTTATTGTCACTTTCTAACAACATTTTGCCTTTCTATGTTACAAGAATTCGAAGGAATTAGAAATTCAAAATTGTCAAAAGTTTATTAATCAATCAAAGTATCAAATTATATGATACTGGTTTTGATGGCACCTCAACCATAAAAGAACATTTTTAGCATTTACTACATTTTTTAAATAAAATTTAAATTATTCAATTTTCTATTTTTAATTAAAATAAAATATTGTATGTAAATAAAAAAATGTATGTAGTTTTCGATTAATGGTGTGGTTGTAAATAAAATAGTACCTATACGAACGTCAGACGAATGTTTTCGTTACTTATATAGAGATATAATAATTAGTTAACCAAGATAGTAATAAAACACTTTCCTTCTCGGTAGGTATTAACTATTATTTTATCTTTTCTGTATATCTTAGCTTATTGACAGCGTTCCATTTTACTCCTTTTGCTGCTTTTATAAAGCTCTACAAAAGCCTACTCTTTCAAAATGGATAACTACGTTATAATATATTAATTCATTCACTTAAAGCTTTTTAAGTTTCTTGATTGAAATCGATAAGCTAATGATTTTACCGGATCTTAATATTACGATTTTACCTACGTAACATAAACATACAATAGATAATACAGGATCCGGCTGCAGGATTATTACGCTCATCAAGTAGTTCAATATCAATAATCAAAACATAATTTTTACACATATATTTATAGGGGAATACACTTTTAACAGAGTGCCAATCAAAAAGTTGTCAAACAGATTTGTTGTTACAAATAGGCTTGCCACGGTTCAAAGTCAAACACGGTAGAAAGTACAGGTTAGGTTAAAGAAGGCATCCATTTTTCTCAAAGAGACCTGGTTCAAATTAAAAAGAACCTCTGTTTGCGGCAACTTTTTGATTGGCACTCTGTTAAAAGTGTATTCCTCTATAAATAGACGTGTAAGAATTATATTTTGATTAACTACACGATGAGCGTAATAATCCGGCAGCTGGCTGTTCTAAGAAAGTTAAGGACAAGTAGCAGTTTATAATTACATTACATTTTCTTTCGAATTTGGTGTTTCAAACTGGTGTTTAAATTCTAACATTCACTATAATTGAAATGAAACTTTCTGAAGCAGTGCAAGTTTGATAGATATAAATTATATATTAGACCTAATATTAATTTTATATGGTTTTTGTTGCTGTTTTTACTTTTTTATCAATTGCTTACTTTCAATTTGTATAAATATTTAATACAGTTTCAATAAAAGGCAGTACCTATGAGTTACAACTACAACCTGAACTGAGTATGTGTGTAATTAAAACTTATAATGAGTATTCTACCAGATGAATGCTATACTCATAAAAAACTCACAATCAAAAGTAATAATTATATTCGTTGTTACTTGAATATTGTTGGTTTGAAACAAAAAAAAATCTGTATTTTGTCACTGAAACTTCAAGTAAAAATCCACTGAGAATAATTCAGCAACTCAGTGATTCCTCATATAACTGTCTCTGTCTAAAAAGTCGGAGTTTTACAATGAAATGTAAAAATAAAATAAAATAAATCATTCTTTTATTCAGTAGTTTTGTATGAAACTGTTGTATAAAGTCATTCTGTAAAAAAATAATAAACAAAACGCACTATATTGTCTTGTCCTCTTAAATTCCTGATTTTTTTTTGTATTTATTCTAAGAAGTATACCATACAAGATATCTCCCGGATTCTCATAGCAATATATCTAATGTTACTTTAGAACTCCGATATAGGACGGTTTAGAAACAACAATTTATTTTCAGAAAAGAAAAACTTTTAGAACAAAACAGATGCAGCAGCTTCAGAAGTTACACCGTTTTGAGTAAAACGACATTACATTTAGAAAACTAATTTAACCGTTAAAAATTTGTGCTATGGTATAACGTCGATAAATTGGCAACTTCAAAACCTTAAATATTACGAATTATTTCGTCACGCTGCGTTTTCGTGTTTCCCTTATGCCGCTGGTTCCTCCTCCTGATTGTGCTTCGCGATAGCTAGGAGAATCATGGTCAGTTCTTTCTTGTTGATTTTGCCATCCTGATTGTAGTCCACGCCTCGAAGAATGGTTTCTTCAAAGTCTTGAAGATCTTGAGCATCGTAGTCCTATAAAACGATATTATAAATACACATCAAGTTGCAAGACTCAGAGGTGTCTTTATGCCAAAAATTAGATATTCGATATGTACAGGGTGGACCAAATTGGACACTTTTAAAGGGAAACACTCTTTTCTATACGAAAACTAATATTCGTGTTCAATATTTATCATAATGGTAAAAACCGCACATCGATACATTACCGTTTCGCAGTTAATCAAAAATGTGCAATTTTAACAAATCGCTGTAAGTTTTTGCTATGGAAAATGTTATATTTTTATGAAAACAATTTCAAAGCACCTTTTTACGTAGAATTTAATTGTTTAAGTGTAATTATTATTGTACTTAAATAAATAATTTAAGAGTTTGCTTTGTTCAAAACATCGAAAATGCTGAGAAGCGTCTTCAACATTTCCCTCGTAGAATAAGAATGATGACATACATATCTATAGAAAAATAGGTTGACATAACTCAACAATAGATTATGAGATTCACATAGCATAAGATCAAGACGGGAAGGTTGGAGTGGGGGTATTCTCAGAAGTCAGCGAACTAAGACACTCAGATCGAATGCCAGATTTTCATTCTATCTGTTCTGCAGAAGTTTATGCTATATACATTGCTCTACTTAAAATAGAATAATATGACATCGCCAAGGCAGTTATATTCTCTGATTCATCAAGTGCCCTAAAGAAGATAAGCAAAACTGGAATAGACGCTGAAACGGACGAATTAACACCGGTCACAAGAAGGAAATTAATAAACAAAAGGGACGTACAATTAGCATGGATACCAAGTCATACGAACATTTATGGAAATGAGGAAGCAGACAAGTTGGCCAACGCTGGACGGCTCTTACCTCCCACACTAACACCCAAAGCAGATTATAAAACCTTTATACCAAAAATGAAAGAATTCATATATAATAAATGGAAAGAAAGATTTGTAGCGATTGGTAGAACGAAAGGGAAAGAATATTGCACTACAGTTTAGCAGCCATATAGGACACCATGGTTCAAACAATATAAATACTTGACAAAGCAACAAATAACCACCATGTGTCGACTCAGATCAAACCATTGCTTATCCCCGTCACATCTCTATAAAATCAGAATTAATAGAGATAATCGGTGTCAGTGTGGAGAGGTTGCTGATGTCTTTCATTTGATAATTGCTTGTCCACATAATTATAATCACCAAAAAATCTTATATTCCTATTTCGACAATGAGATAGAGCAAAAACCGATTTCCCTGCATGACATCCTTTTTAAATTCAACAAGACAGAACTCATAAAACAAATCGCTTTGTTTTTGAATGTTAGTAATTTAAAACTCTAAATATTTACTAATAATAAGCCTAACATTAACTTTATAATCACGAAAAAAAAATAGCCGTAAATTAGAAATGTCATAATCACATTTTCTTGAAATGCACAGTAATTATTGGGACTTAGAGCTGCAGCTTCAATCGTAGAATGCATGCATAACTGAATAGTTGCAGAGCTTAAAGCAACCTGTTTAATAGCCTCAATAATTGTTAAGAAAGATAAATCGGCGAAAGTTCATTAAACTTGACCACCCAAAAAAAAAGAAAAAAGAAAAGCAGAAAAGTACTTTGCCAGAATGGTCCTGGCAGCCTAGGCAACGCAGCTCTCTCCTGAAAAGGAGAGTTTGAGAAGAAAGAAGAAGAAGAAGAGATTCACATGACATTGACATTTTTCATTGTTTTATCCTATTAGATGCCTGAAAAAATGCGATGCTGTCTATATGTGCTATGTGCTCAACGCGTATCCAGAAAACGATTCGCACGGCAACGAGAATACCAAAATCGACTGTTTGGCGTTCCGCTCATCTAATACTTTCTCGTACAGCTTTGAAAGCGTAAGCGTTTTTGGTAAGGTTGTCTCTTCTTGGTCCTGGTGGTTAAGCCAAGAGTAGTTCCAGACTTAAAAAAATGTTTTATTGTCTCTGTTTATTTGTATCCGACTGAAATTTCTAAATTTTGAAAATTAACGACAATGTCAGTCTTGAAACAAGAAAAAAATATTTCATAATTTATCTGCGTATGCTACTCTGATGCAACCGATGATAAAGATATATTGTTTGCTTATTGTAAGAAATTTTCTGGAATTGTATAGTAAGGTCTACAATTTAAAACTATTCTTGAGCACATAAGGTCCTGAAATTAAGTGTGGCGAACACAACGTATGGTTTTTATAAGGTTATAATTATTTTACCTTCTTAACAAGTTCTAATAAGTCTTTTAGAAATCCTCTCAGTTCTTCATTTTCAATTGTTCCATTGTTATCCTAAAACAAGAAATGTATATTTTTATAATTTAAACAAATAACGGTGATGGCACAACTTACTCTGTCATAAAGTGCAAAAACCCTTTCAATGTCGTCTTTGGTTAGTTTAGTAGCACCCTGTATAAAATAATTGTAATATTAATTTAACGTGTTAGATGAAATAAATACATTTAAAGCTGCTGGTTGTCTTCTAAGAAGGCAAAGTTTTTCAAAATAAGCGGTAAGGGATACATATAGGTTTTTATTTTTTAATCAACATTTTAATATAATAAAAGTACCTGGTAAACTGCTTATGAAAAACATTGCCTGTACTATTCAAAGGGTAACATTGAAAATAGTGACTTTTAGACTTTGATTTCTTTGGATGAAAATTAGATATAACCGAGGTTATAACATTATTTTTCCATTAAAACATAAAATACAATATTAAAAAATTACGCACAATTTTACAATTTTGTATATTATCCATAAACCTAAAATATAAATGTAATTCTGATATTTTGTAATATGTTTTGAAACAATGTTTTATAATATAATATTAAAGAGATGAAGGTTACAGAAAAATTATATGTATACCGGAATAGGTGCATCGTCGTTGGAAACATAGGAAATCGCATTCAAATTTTGAACTGTTCAAATATTGGCTCCGCTGTTAATTTTACAGCGAAATTGTTAATAGGTTTTTAAAGGCCTGCGTATGCTGAATACACATACCAAATTTGAACAATTTTGAACAGAAAATCTGTATCTATTTTTAAATTAAAATTGAACAGATAACAATGCAAAACCCGGCAAAAGCCAATGTACCTTAAGTTGCCATCCTATAATTTTGTCAATGTCCAATTGTATTTTCTAAACGTTAGGCTTTTGCCACATTTGAACTAGTTTTAAATTACAAAAATACATTTCGAGGACACTCAGCCATGCTAAGCTGTACTGTAAGGCTACTGTAACGTAGTAGTGTACCTACGGTTAGTGGTCTCCGCAAGCATAACAAATTATATTTGACAATGATAAAACTGGAATAAAACTGGATAAAACTTAAAGTATGTTGACATGGCCGACTGGTTCTTCATAGTTACTTGTTCAATTTAATTTAAAAATAGATACAATTTTTCTTAAATTACTTAAAATCGGCTTGTCTAACATTGTTTAAATCTGGTAAGCATAGGTAGACCTTTAAAACCCCTATTTACGACTTAGCAGTAAAATCAAAAGGGGAGCTAATATTTGGACAGTTCAGGATTTGCATTTTGTTTCCTTTTTGTTTCCAATGACAGTGGACTACCCCATCGCCAATCGTAAATTCATAAGTCTTAAAAAATAAACCAATTCAATTATTTGAATGTTAAATAATAATATATCAGCATGCGTTCGCTAATGAGCTAAAGATTTGTATCAAAATTATAACTCTTAAATGTGTAAGCATGCCTTTCTATTATTTCTATTATAAGAGTTTCTACAAAAGAAGTTTAAATATGTAACATTAAACGAAAATAGAAAATGGACTATTTCGGACTGCATTACTGATCTTATATTAAATAATATTACTGATGAGTTTTGTCGATGCGGTTCGTCAATGCGTTGATTTGATGCCCCAAAGCGGTTGTGCAGCAGTTTGGTAGAGTGTCGGTATTTGGGCGAACCATCAAAGGAACTATCACGAATACAATGGACGAATTTCTAAACGAACTAACGAATCGCATCATATATACTATGCATGAATGGGCGTATGAAATAGACGAATCAAACAGACGCACCTAGTGGGTATGGGGCTTAATAATTTATAACTTTTACAAATTAAATTGCCACAAAAATGCGAAATTGTGTTTAAAAGTTAGTTTTACCCTGACTGCATTTTAAAGCCCTGAACTTTTTTAATCAAATCTTCAAACTAAAATTATGTTTCAAAAATTTGTATAAACTAAAAAAAAATCTTTTTATCAATTTAGTACTAACAGAAGCGTTGAAATCTTTACAATGGCATCACAAATAAAATACGAAATATTTTTTGAATGTTTAAACAGTTACAAACTTTTTTAATTAAAATTTAAGTACAGCTTTGTATTGAGAGATTTAAGAAGTAAGAAAAGTCCATTTTAAATTTTGCAGCATTCCACTATTCTACAGAGCAAGTGTCAAATACGTTGAATATTCAGAAAGATTTGAAAGAAAAACAAAATTTTCATACGAAAGAAAATAGGTAAAATTGTTTTAAAATACTCAAAGTTTTAGTTGTATCATTGGATTTGGTTTTGACACTTCCTCTCAAACACCAAGTGGTTTTATGTACTCACTTCGAATCCTTCCTAAAAGAATTGGCACAAAGATAGACAGATAAAGCCGTGCAGCTAGTTTAGATACTATGTATTAAATGAGACTTTGTTTATTACTTTTTTGAGATTGTATGAGGTTTTCATAATTTATGAATGTTATATGAAAATTTATTTATAAACATAATTTTTAATGACAGCAATAGTTGGGCGTCGACGCGTCTACTTTTATTGTTGAACTCGGCACGTCAACTATGAAGTATATGTCGATAATGTCAACAATGTCACAGGTTTACGATTGAGGTTAGATTTGGTCATTAGTTAATGATTACTCATTTCTCCAAAAACATCCTTTATGGGTATTTCGCCACTGCACTGCAAGAAAAATCTACAAAACAAACGAAAATTGAACAGAACGTCAACGGTTTCTTGTAGATGTATCTGTTTTGAAAAAAGTAAAGTGTTCTCGAATAGTTGAATTTAAATATTTTAAATAGTTTTTTCTTTATTCTTTGTATTTTTTTGCCTCCGACGACAGAAAGAGATACACTTTCCGAAACGTTAAGCATTTTTTTCTTTTTTAGGCAAATTTTTATTACTACTGTAAACATAACTTCTGACCAGCAGTGTCCGTTTAGGTTTAACGCAGAAGTGTTAAAAAAATAACTATTTTATTTTGTAGATTTTTCTTGCAGTGCAATGGCGAAATACCCATAAAGGATTTTTTTTGAGAGATGAATCCGCCACATAGGTATAGACATTTATTACTCATTTCTCCGGATATTTTTGGTTATAGTTTGACTTAGGCTATTCTGTGAAAATAGCAAGCGGTGGTTATTGTTTCTCTTTGATCAATTAATGGCAGTACATTAGATTTTAGGTCTATAATAATGATGGATTATTAAAAATGTTGGAATGTATCAATAATCATACTTATTTTTTTTAATTTTTCCTTTGAGGTAAAATAAACACTAATTCTTTTTCAGGCATGTTTGCTACACTTTTTAAAAAAGAGTTAAAGAATGTTTATTGAGCGATTACTCGTAAATCGGGGATACACACACTTCTTCGATATGGACTGTCATTTGTAGATTCAAAAATATTGGTCCACTATACCAGGTGCGTCTGAAAAGTGGCTCACCCCTATAACTTTTTTTATTTTTTAAGTTATAAAAGGAGATTTGGTATATTAGTACATCACATAAATTAGGATTGATTGACGTATTCAATTGTATTCGGTAACTTCCTGTTTCACCGGAAATGACTAGAACTTTTGATTTTTAAATGGCACCACGGTATTTTTTAACTTTATTCGATAGAAAATGGCACTCACATATATAGAATGACATATCATATGTCAACTTTTGACGTTTCGCTTATGGTTTATTTGAAATTATAACTGGCGGTTCGTAACGAAAATTTGACTCGAAATACCAAGTGTGTGGTATCAAATTATTCGTAAAAAAATGCTTTTTCGAAATACGCTAATGAGCTACCCTCGTTCCATTTGAAAAAAATTGAGATATGATTAAAAATACGATTTGAGCATTTTCCAACTGGTCAGGACAAGACACTAAAAACATTAGACGATCAAATCTATTTTTCCAAGGCTCCTTGATTAAGAATTAGTGTTTTTAATAAAGCCATGACATTCTAGATTGAATTTTAAAATAGAATTTTTTATTACGCGAGAATGTCAAAAGTTGACATATGATGTGTCATTCTATTCAGAATGTCATTTTCTATCGAATAAAGCCAAAAAATACCGAGAGTGTCATTTAAAAATCAAAAGTTGTAGTCATTTCCGGTGAAACAGGAAGTGACCAAAAACAATTGAATACGTCAATCAATCCTAATTTATGTCATATACTAACATACCAAATCTCGTTCTTGTATCTGAAAAAATAAAAAATTATAGGGGTGATCCACTTTTGAGACGCACCCGGCATTTTATTCTCCAAAGTGAGAATACTGAAAGGAATGTTGATTCTGAAGTTTCTGATTGTGAGTCAGCAACACAAGTCACATCTTATGATTAGCCGAAAATGGTTATCCCATGTTTTTAATAAATGTTTATTCTATGTTTTTAAGTTTTAATCATACAATGTTTTACTTTAATAGTTGTAGCTCTAACTTGTTCTAAATTATTAGCTATTGCTATCGATGTTGACGAGTTAGTTAACAACTAAACGACGACTTGTCGGCGTGACATTCTTGACGTCGCGTCGCCCAACTGTGTGTATTAGTTACAAATTATCATAATTGAATGTTCTGTTCTTAGCATCATTAATAAAAATTTTGTAAGACATTATTACGAAATATTTAAAACATAATCGTGAAATCACTTCTAATCACTTAAATTTTTAAACAAATGTATTTTAATTTTAAATTAAATGCATGGTTGTTCGATCATTTTACACATTCAAGGTACACAAGTGAAAATATATAAATTACAGAAAGTAAGTCATACAGAGTGTTTCAAAAAACTCTCTTTCGTGGGGAGATTTCTCATGTAAAAATAAGATTTATTTTTCATATTAATACATGTCCGATTCTGATTTGTTTCTTAGCTACAGGGAGGTAAAGTCTTCATTTTTTTTAATTTATTATAATTTTCTTCGTGCTAAGTGCTTGAAATTTTGACTCGAATGAAATTTTGAAGGTAGAAGTTACTATAAGTGCTACATATTTTAATGATAAAAAGTTTCGACTGATTTACGGATCATTTTTTAAGGACGCATATGGGGTTATCACTGGAATATGTTTCTAACAAAACATGTGCGCTACTGGCTTTTTTCTTCTTGTTAGCAAAATTGTGTAGGCCATTTGATTAAGAGTTGTCCAATTCGATCTCCTTGATGAGATAAACGTCATTTTATTAATCACAGTTTATAAAATAAAAATAAAAGCAACAAATTGTTTATTTAATATAATTTATTATTAAATTTTGCTAAAATTTATAACACTCATGTAGTGCTACTTACAGCAAATTCGCCAAAAACAATGGCTTTTAAGATAATTACAAAAGACTTATTTTTTAAAAGTTTTAACAACCTGTAACTTTAAAATTATGCATTTCCACACCCATGAGGGATAAATGAGTACTTATTTAACATTTTGGCCAGTTAATGCCATTATCATTTTTTAAAGGTTGCTATTAGAATTGAATTAAGGCAAATCTATTAAATTGCGTTTATCGCATCTAGGAGACCGAAACTCCGAAACCGACAGAATATCAAGAGACAACTTTTAATCAGCATTTAACAGTCTACATAATTTTGCTAATAAGAGAAATAAAAGCCAGTGGCGCACATATTTTTTTAGAAAAATATTCTAGTGATAACCTTATAGCACGTCCCTGATGAATATGTCGACAACCTTTTTAGCATTAAAATATGTCGCAATTATAGTAATTTTTCTCCTCAAAATTTCATTTCAATCGCTAAAAGCACTTAGAATTGAAAAAAGATGAATATTTTAACCCCTGTAGTTATGAAACAAAGCAGAATCGGGCCTATGTTGATACGAAAAATAAATCTTATTTTTACGAGAGGTATCTCCCAATGAGAGATGACATTTGTATTTTGAAACACCCTGTTGAGCCAATCTATGGAGCGTTAATAGTGTTAAATATATTTTAGTTAGTTTTTTAAACAATATGAAAAATAAATATTAAAATTGGGCTACCCTGTAGTAATGTATGTAGAGTTTACAGCAAATACTGTCGGGCTAGTAAGTTACATATAGCCCGATCGCAAATATAAAAGCATGACTTGAAATATAAATATAACAACAGTTATACTAAACAGTACAAAAACCTCATATTTACAACTCTTAAATCATATGGGCACTTTTTTATATATTAATTTATTTGTTTAAATACTTAATTTGTGCAAGTGCACGTGCAAAGTACAGGCCAATTACAGTAAAGATTTTGTGTAATAAAATGTATATTTTTAAAGAAATCTAAAGTTCACAACATTGTTTTGTATAAAACTTTTACGGATTTTAGTATTTTTTCTTCTCTGTATACTTATTATGATTTGCTTTTGTATCATAATCGTAAAATTTAAAAATATAATTTGAAAAGGAGTAAACCTGTAAGTTGTACGGTCCTCAATTAGTATTTATAAATAACAAATTGAAATATTTTAAAACTATAATTAATAAAGTTTTGAAATTACAAGGTGTTTTTCAAGTAGTCTAAAAAATTTGGGTGTGATTCCTCATTATGCTAAAAGAAAAAAGGTTATACAGGGTGGTCCGAACTGTATTCCGGACACTTCCGCAGCATATTCTACAGACAGAAATAATTAAAAAAGTTCGTATAAATTTATGTCCGAAAATACTTAGTTTCGGAGATACAGGGTCTAGAAATTTAACTTTTATTTTCTATTTTTTTTAAAGTAATTTATGAAGTGACATCAATATTTGGATGAAAATTGGTGTCTGGAAGTTTTTTGGCATGAGAAATTTGATTTTGATGTCAATATGACGCTACCGTAAAATGGGGGGAATAGAAACATAGTGGCGAAAAGAAACAAAATTTCTGAAAAAAATCAAATCACGATTAAAAATATTCAAAATAAAAAGAGTCGACATATCTAATTTTTCTCTCATTGGTAATCAACCAAACCAAACTTTATAAATAAAATATTTATTTTTAAAGTAATAAATAAGCTGGTACATGTAAGTTGTTATATTACATGTGTTGTTAATTATTGTTAAACCTACTTAAATATGTAATAATTTACTGTTTATAATCACCTTGTTGGAAGTAGAATAGATAAAAACCTTAACATCAATGTGTGTTTCTATTCTCCCGAATAACAGGTGAATAGAAACACAAATGTTATTTTTATTTAATATTTATACGCATAATTTTCAAAAATCAAATTATATGTATACGTAAAGAACAAACAAAGACCCATGTTTTAAAATATTCGGGAAAATAATACCACATTTTTATCAACCGTATCGCTAATAGCCTTTGAAACTGTTTCTATTCGCCCCATTTTACAGTACCTACATATTTTTAACTGGTTCGAAGAGTAATAACTTTTCGTCCGTACCTGTATAAAACTAATTAGAAAAAAAAACATTTACTACGCATTTTACGTAAAAAAGGTCCCTTGGTAAAAATCACTACGAGTCATGTTTATCGAGATATATGGAATCGAAATTATCAATACCCTGTCATTACTGACATAAATTCAACATGCTTGACTAATAAGTTACTGGACTGAAATCATAAATTTGAAATGTTCTTGGGCCAAAAGTTCAACAGAAACTGTTTTATCATCATTATTTGCAGAGAAATTTATGATTAATTTAAAAAAATAAAAAATTCCCAAATTTACTATTTCAGTCAAACTAAAAATTCAAATAGTCAAATTTCATAACTATCTACTCAACGTGTATATTTTTTGTCCATAATGACATGTATTAACTATTTCCATTCTAAATATCTTGAGAACGGTTGCTTGTAGCGATTTTACTAAGAGACATTTTTTAAGTAAAAAGTCACTGAAATGTATATTTTTGCACTCTGTAGTTTCATATAGAGGTACAGGCGAAAAGTTATTACTCTTCAAAACAGTTAAATCACATGTAGGTGGTTATAGGTTAAAAAAAGATGGTGCCCCTACATATACTAGTTATATTATTGACATCAAAATCAGATTTCTCATGTCAAAAAACTACTAGACACCAATTTTCATCCAAATATTGAAGTCAATTCATAAATTATTTGAAAAAAATTGAAATAAAAATAAAACTTCTATACCTTGTATCTCCGAAACTAAATATTTTAGGACATATACATATATATGTATACGAACTTTTTTACTTATGTTTATCTGCAGGATATACTGCCGAAGTTTCCGGAATACAGTTCGGATCACCCTGTATATGAACAAGTACTTTCTTTTTGTTGATGCAGAGTGTTTGATGTTGATACAGAGTGTTTGATGTTGATACAGTGTGTTAAAAATTTAAAAATATCGGATTTAATCGGCTTAAAATAAATGGTACGCAACTGCGTTTTTTACGAGAAATCAATTTATTTTTCTGGATTACCAATACTTTTTAATAAAATTTAAGAGATTTTTAATAAAATCTCTTGAGATTTACTTGTATATTAAATGGATTTAGAGGAAAATATAATAAAATTTAAAGTACCTACGTCTAGATAATTATGAATGCTCGTTTTCTAACGATTTTGAGATATGCGAGGTAGTTGAAATAATTTTCTTTCTCGAAAACCGTTCGATATACAAGAAAAACTCAAGAGATATTGTTAGGAAAGGAAGGAAATCAAGAAAAAAACAGTATCTTAAAAAAAACAGGGGCGTATCATTTATTTTAATCAAATAATCCAATGGTGTGCGCTGTACGTCGCCACTGATTGAAGTAGAAAAACCAACAGTTAAAGGAAATAAACTCCCTAAATCACCACAATACACCAAAACTAACTAGTTTATAATAATCTGCTGATGATGCTAACATGGTTAGTGAAACGCGCGTCCAGTGTAAAAGTAAAAGTGTTTTGGTGTATTGTGGTGATTTAGTGTAATTTTATTTTGCTGTGTAACACCAAAGGTTCCAACCCTCAACTGTAATAAACTCCTTTTATACCAGATACAGTAATTTTTAATTTATTACTTTTTCAACATTTCAGACTACACTGTTTCAAACATGTCCTTCAGATCGTTCAATTTAATAGCTGTTAGTAACAAGTTTCACTTCAAATATGCGCACATAGTGCACACACATTTTTCTTTAAATTTTGTACACCCTGTATATCAGGAGGAAGTACTTTATACCCCATGTTTATACCTATGAACTTTTTTTTCTTATAACATATGAGGAATCACATCGTGAAATGTTTTAGACTACTCAGGTAACACCCTTTATATATGTGAAAAAAAAAATCAATTTTATTACCAATTCAAATGTCACTCAAGTTCAAGGGATATTATATACCTTGAACTAAGTTATCTACTGTATTAATATGATTTAAACCAATATTTTTTTCGAAAGGACTAGTATAAATATTTTTACATGTCATTATATTTACTAAAAATGTAAGTAAATTAGGTGTTAAATGTGAGAAAGAAGAAAATCTACTTGCGGCGTAAGTATTTGAAGTATCTAAGTAAAGAATGGGTTGTAAAATGAGTAGAATATTGCAAGTCACTTACCTTGAAAACCTGCCTGCACAAGAAATTTTCTTTTACGGGAAGTAGCCTAGAAAATTAATAATTGATCATTGTCAAGAGATACTAGCTTGAAAAACTGATTAATCATTGTTATTGAATGTGATTTTCTTGTAAGTTCAAGACGATTAAAAGATTCGATGTTTCTTGAATGAAATTTTAGTTAACTATACCCATCATACTATTAAATTACTTTTAAAATATGTTATCATGTGTAAACAATACATTTTGACAAAGAGATACTGGTACAGAGACCTAAATATAAAAAAAATATAAAAATAATGTTTGTATATTACAAGTGCCTTTAAACGTCTCAGTGGGTATACCTTGTCCCATGTACTAACGCTTTTAGTACATAAATAAATAATAGATACATATTTGTAATATTTTTACTTACTTTGCCATTTCCGATAACTGTAAGCGTCCATCTTTATTTGCATCAAAAACTTGCAACTGAAACATAAAATGATGTGTTAATAGATAAGTATACCGGGTGCGTTGAAAGTGGTTAACCCCTTTAACTTTTTAGTTTTTTTTAGATAAAAAAAACGAGATTTGGTATGTTAGTATATGACATAAATTGGGATTGATTGACGAATAAAATTGTTTTTCGTCACTTCCTGTTTCACAGGAAATGACTACAAGTTTTGATTTTTAAATGGCCCCCTCTGTATTTTATTACTTTATTCGATAGAAAATAAGATTCTGAATAGAATGACGTATCATGTGTCAACTTTTGACATTCTAGCTTAATAAAAAATTGTATTCCAAATTTCAATCTAGAGTGCCATGTAGGCTATGTTAAAAACACTAATTCTTAATCAAGAAGCCTTGGAAAAATAGATCTGATAGTCTAATGTTTTTAGTGTTTTGTCCTGGCAGGTTAAAAAATCCCCAATGGTATTTTTAATCATATCTCAATTTTTTCAAATAGAATGAGGGTGCATAGCATTAGCATATTTGGAAAACGCATTTTTTTACGAATAATTTGATACCACACACTTGGTATTTTGAGTCAAATTTTCGTTACGAATCGCAAGTTATAATTTCAAATTAACCATATGCGAAAATGTCAAGAGTTGACATATGATATTTCATTCTATTCATAGTGTTATTTTCTATCGAATACAGTAAAAAAATACCGAGGGTGCCATTTAAAAATCAAAAATTCTAGTCATTTCAGGTAAAACAGGAAGTGACCGAAAACAATAATTGAATACGTCAATCAATCATATGAATACGAAAAAATAAAAAACTTATATGGGTGAGCCACTTTTGGGACGCACCCGGTATATGGTAAAGTGTCGTATTCATGGGTAAGGTGTCATATTAAATATTTAATGTGAATCACTTATGTACAAAATCTTAAATTTTGGTTGCTGATTTAAGTAGTGTATATACCAGCTATCTTTATAATATATTTTTGTGTTGCCAGATGTACTCGTACTTTTTTATTTTAATGGAACACCCCGTATAATATTGCATCTATAAAAATGACAACTTTTCTTCTTTAATATGATTCCAGACGTTATAGTCTAAGATCCGGCTGCAGAATTAGTACACTGATCATGTAGTTAAGCAAAATTTAATTTTTACATAGGTATATTTATGAATAGGGGACAACACTTTTAATAATGTGGTATCAAAAAGTAGAGGCTAATAAGGATTGCCACGATCAAAGTCGTTCCTACTCCTTATCCAGGTCGGTAACAGTGCGTCGGGCACCTGTAGCTTCTATATAATAAAACACTTAGAAATTTGGTATAAGTGTAGACCTAAAGTAGGTATGTAGGTATTAGGATGTTGTTGATCTGATGTGTTTCAGGAAATAGTTTAACTTCTACAGAGTGGCTCAAAAAAGTGTGAGTGGATCGTAAACCCCATTCCTCCTCTGGAGGCTCGAATTCCCCCAGCAACCACTAAGAAATTTCGTCTCTAATTCCTTCGTCTACACTGCGCAGCAGAAAAGCCCCTGGTCACGACTAAGTCAACATCGCACTGAAACAACTGCGCACCAGTGCATACCAGGGCACATTACCAGCGTGCCCTGGTATGTTCACAACTCCGACATCCGCGTCGATCTTCGTATCGACCCCGTCCCCAATTATATATTCCAAAATATATTACCATCCCCAATGACACCCTAAAACTCTTGGATTTTAATCCCGAGCATAGAAACTGCAAATATTTGCATAGAAACTGCAAATATCCCATCTGAAAACATTTTTTCTAGACATATTGTCTCCCCCTTCCTTTAAAATATACAATACCCTACCCCAATAGGGTCCTCCCAATACTCTATAAATAACCCAGTTAGAATAATACCTGACCATACTTCAGCAGCTGATTCTTCGTAGGTGGACTTTTTTTAGTAGGTAACATTTTGATTTCCACACTGTTTAGAGTTTGCCTCGACGGCCTTCGTCTCTCCAGATGTTGTTGGGAGTACGTACTTACCTACTTACTGCCATTATTGGCTGACGAGTATTTTACATGCACCAGAAGATCCGCAAGGCGTTTTCTTTCATGAGCTTTTCTGTGACTGAAAAGCCCGATACGTGATGTTATAACTCTTCCGTACTCCGGACATTCAAAAATCTCATTACTTTGTTGTCTCTTTATTTTTTGTTTGTCGTTGTTGACTGAGTTCTTCTCCATTGCGTTCTATTATGCGCTGCTTCCTCCCATTGATTCTGCATGTTTATCCACTTTAAGTTTTCATGAGAAATATCCTTGTATCTTTTGAGTTGTCCACCCGGTTTTCTCTAACCCTCTACAAGCTCGCCGAATAGAAGTAGTAGGCGGTTTACTTGCATCCTGTATACGTGGCCAGCCTATCTTAAGCGGGATTTAGCATCATGACTTCAGCGCTCTCGTAGCTAGCTTTTTCAAGAACTGATACGTTTGAGACATGATGGTACCGTTTAATTCTTAACAGTTTTCTATAAGGTGTCTCTGTTGCAACTTGTTTAATGCGTTCGTGTGCCGGCAGTAAAGCACGCATCAGGTTTCGCTTCCATATGACATGGTACGGATTATGGCTCGGTACACTGCGCAAGTTTCGTTTCTGTGCTCAAGTTATGATTGTAGAAAACACTGTCTTTTAATTTCCAGAATGTTCTTGAGGTGCTGCTAATTCTGTGCGGAATTTCAGACTCGATATTGGCCTTTTCCTAAATTAAACTGCCGAGGTAATTCCGCTACATAATAGTTCTTTTTTTAGATTTTCCGGGGGAGTGCACATAATTTTAGTTTCACCGATGTTCAGCTTAAGGCCCAAAACTTCGTATGCCTAGGCTGTAACGTTTTTGCAGTTACTGTCTACTATAACACAGTTTAAGGAATAATTTCCTAAACTGTGACTATAATAGAGAGCCCTCCCATAAATATGTTGAATAGAAGAGACGCTAAGACACATTAAGACACATTCCTGTCTAACTAATTTGTTAGGAAGAGGTCGTTCAGTGATCCACGAGCACTATTCGCCTATAAAAGGTGTTTTAACCATTCCATTACAAAAAAAAATATTGAGCTTGCAATTGTATAGTAGCAGAGTAGATATAATAGCCTTGTAGTAGAGCCATTATAAAACAAGAAGAAGAAGAAATCATTAGAACGCGTTTAACATTTTAATCATCAGAGGTTTAAGAAGATAACAAGTAAGAAAAAAAAACAATTGGCCATTATATGACGCCCTTTCAATTTTGTGTTCGTTTACTATACACAACATTTTATTAGTAAATAAAAAAGTACTAAATATATAAAGCAACAAAATACCAAAACGAAATAATAAGATATACGAAGCGACAAATTCAACAGCCATCGACTAAGCATTATCTTTTTACGACGAGTAATTTTATCAGACTAGACCATCGTTAAACGGATGATTCGGCACTTTATTACTCACCATTGTGTCCGTGTATTCAATGAGTTTGTCCTCGGAGACGTCGTTTATTTTTTTCGCCTCTTTGAGCAGATCTCTCAGGAAGTTCTGGAAAATAAAGCAGTAAGAAATGAGAGAGCGCTTTAAAAAAATAGAGAAAATCCGATAAAAATGGGTCTGTCGAACAAAATTCCCATTTGGAACATTTGCTTTTGATGTTTAATGAGCGTAGGCGTCTGGCTCTGTTGGAGCGGGGTAAAATTTTTAAAAACAACGGTTTTAAGAAGATCGTTTATATAAGTGAAAAGTTGTTTGGATACTTAAGAAAAAGAAAGATTTATTTTATATAGTTCGGTTCAGAATATTATCTAAATTTTTATTTATCCAAGACACAAGGCAATGGCAGGCTGGTAGGTTTTTTAAATAAATTTAAGTTGGTATAGGTTGTAGGGTGGCTCATTAGTGAGAGGAAGATCCATATCGACGTCGTTGTCGAAGATATGGAAAAAAGTTTTACATAGATGTTGAATGGTTTATAAAGGGACATACCCTAAAAATATTTTGTGGCGTACAGGGTATCACAAAAAAAAGTTATGATAAAGTTTTAATTTTTATTTTAAAATGAAAGGTCCTGGGGAAAAACATGATATGCGCCATTTTACTAATTTTACAGGAGAGCATCACTGGGCGGCTGGTAGTTTTCAGTTTCTTGCCGTTTGTTCTATAGTTTTCTAGGCATATATCATAGGATTTAACAACTTATTGCCCTGTCGAGTTTATTCATTTTGTAGGGACCAGTAGTAAAACTGCAACCTAACCTTAATATTGTAAAATCCTAAAATTAGGAAATACTTTGTACTCTCCATTGTTCTGTAGATAATTAGATTCAGCATAAAATTCTGTATAGAATACACTATTTCTATTTAAAGTACTATGGGGTGTTGCCATACTATTTCTCATAAGACTAAAACTTTGGTTAAACACATTATAATCCGAAATGTGGTTAAAAAGTGGAGTGCATTTAACTTTATTAATACTTAGATATATTTTCCTAAACAACTAAAATAAAAGAATAAACCCGCGCAGGATCATCTTATACAGTGTAATTTTTATGGTCTCGCCAACATCGCAATATTTAAAATGTCTCAATCTTTAAATGCGACACCCTGTATACTATTTTTCTTTTAGATGCAGAATTAAAAAGTGAACATTTTCTTAAATTTTTAAGATATTCCCGGTGTTATGTTACTTACATATGACTTCCACTAGTAAATTTTTATCAAAACTACCTAATATAATCTTTGTCAGGGATTTTACCATTAAAAACCCCATATGTAACATGTAATATAATAATACAGCGTATATTTGTAAAATTTAGGAACAATTTAAATGCTAAGAAAAATTGTGCGCATAATAAAGAAATTTATGTGCGTATATTGGAAGTGAAACTTCTTACTAACAGGTATTAAATTGAATGATTTGAAGGATATGTTTAAAAAAGTGTAGTTAGAAATGTTGAAAAAGTAATAAATTAAAAATTAATAAATAATTTGATTCACTTTCTCAAAATTTGTATTAAAATATCCGTCTGTTAGCCTGTCCGTCTGTCCGTTTGTCTGTCTGTCAGAAGATGGTCAGAAGATGGTCAGAAGATAATATGAAACGTATTCTTCAAGTAGTAAACGAGAAAGTTGTATCAATAAGAATAGCTGCAAACATGTTTGATGTTCCATACGGGACCTTACAGAATAGTATAAAAGGTCGCTTTTCTCCAAAAAAATATAAATTGGGAAGAAAATGTGTTTTCACCGCTGAGCAAGAATCTGAGTTTGCAAATCATATTATTAACTGGTCAAAAGTGTTCTATGGACTTAGAGAAAAATCTGTCAGGAAGCTCGCCTACCAATTTGCAGAAGCAAAAGGGCTAATAAAGTCAAACGATGCGTTGTTCTAAAGAAAAAGGCTGATGATAAATGTTTGTGAAAGTTTTTTGTGAAAGCTTTTTGGGAGAAAGTAAGCTGTGGTTTGGCTGTGGTTTAGCTGTGTTGCACACACATTGAAGATGCTGAATATTATATTTGTATTGAATGCATTTGAAGTTGAATGGTATTTTTAACGATGTTTTAGATAAATTGCTAATAAAAATGTTTGATTGATATTTCCCGACTCTGTGATTGATATTACTGTGATATTATCCTACTAGTCGATATTATCGGCTAAAATAATAAAGTGTGTTTTATTTAAATTTTTATGAAAAAACTATGGTAATTGATTAATTCATGCTAGTATTCTTAAGATAAATATTTCTAAGGTTGTACGTAAAAAATATCAATGCTCTATATGCAAAATTAAATGAATTGGAATTTGTTTTTCTTAGGGCTCAAACGCACTGACATGACGCCAATGACGGACAGGTCGCAACGACCAGGTCGCTGCTACCTCTAATGCCATTAAATGAAATGATACAACGCGCACTAACGACTAACGACCTCTGGCCGTTGGCTGGTCGCTGCGACCAGTAGACTGCACTAAAATATTATTATTTTCTGCAGCTTGTTGCCGCTTTTCTTCCAAATTAATAATTTTTCAGATGATATCCCTCAAATTTAATGCAAAATTTTCTATAAGATATAGTGTTTTAGTGCAGTTTTTGCACACGTGCAGAAAAACCCCAAAAATAGTATACAAACTAGATCAAAGGATTAAGTTTCCCTTTGATCTAGTATTTTTTATGAAGAGTCGATTCTAGTGAAAATTCAAAATATTTTTATATGATATACTCTATTTATGGTTGGTATGATACCTGCAGTGGCGGATCTAGGCGTGGGCAAGGTGGGCATCTGCCCACGACGTTAGGTGCCAGGGGCGCCGCAGAGGCGCCAAAGTGTGTCCGAAATCAATAGGTAAAAACTCTAATCACGCACCGCATGCACACATCACATAAGGTATGTTAGTAGTTTCTGCAAACATTTTACATACAAGTAAAATTTCGGCACAGGGGCGGCAAAATATAAGTATGTCAGAAACATGGGGGGGTTGTCTATATACATTTTTTGAATTGTGGGGGCGCCAAATTTTGTCTTTGCCCACGACGTATTTTACCCTAGATCCGCCACTGATACCTGGTATTATACTTTCTAGTTTCGATGATAAAATATAAAAAAGCATATTTAAAGTTTCTTTTTGATCTGTCCTGTATAATCTTTTTTTTTCTTCCTCTACAATGTGTGAAAACTATACTAATTACCCTACTGTAATTACGATTAATATTTTAAATGTATTATTTAATATTAGAACATTTAATAAGCTCATGAATATGAACTTCGCTTTCTAGTTAACTCGGATATTTTAACATGTCTGAAAACAATATTTCCTAATTGGTAAAACGTAAAAAATCGTTAGATCTGACAGCCCTGCTGAAACTGGTCGTTCATCTAGACGCCATCTATGTACGCAATATATCCGACCAGCCGACGCGACGGCTAAGAACTACGTAGTGATGCGGCGTGTATTTGTGAGCAAATTTTACGCGTGAAAAACTATTTGTTACACGTAAAAAACAATTTTTTACATGTAAAAAAATATCTTATAATTTATTACTCTTACTTTTTTATTACTATTTCAACATTTCAAACTACACATTTTCAAACATGTCCTTCAAATCCTTCAATTTAATAGCTATTAGTAAGAATTTTAGCTTCAAATATGAGTACATAGTATACATACAATTTTTTTAATAGAAAAAATAATGTAACAATCCGACATTTAAAATATAGTAAAACACAGTATCTATCGTATAGCTCACCTTTAACTCGTCAGCCTCTATATAACCGCTCCCATCCGTGTCATACTCTCTCCAAATCTGAAAAAATAATGGTACGAAAATGTCAAAAGGAATAAGCTAAGTATTTTATACGTCTACATTAGTTCCTGTTCGTAGACTATAGAGGGTTAACTATCCAGACGCCGAAAAAATATTAAAAATGGTGCGCCATTCCCCAGCTGACATTAATCAAATTTTAGATGGCAAGATAAATGTAACGCTCTTCCCGAAATTGCTTCGGTTTGATACACAGCTAAAAGTTAATATTTGGAAAAGTTTTGGCAATGAGAATCGAACAATTATGATGGATTTAGGGGCTTCTGTTTCTTTCGAGCCACGAAATTGATTCAATCTATTTTTAGTATTTTAATTTTTGTTAACTCATTTTAGGATTATGTCGGGTTTTGCGTTTAATTACATTATAGACTTTAAGAAGAGTGCGCTTGTAGCTTAAGCAGAGTCAATTTTTTTACTACTAAAGCTTCATTCAGACGCTGGAAATTAGTGGAATAAATTAGTGGGTTTAATAAGCGTAAAAGTTTGATGCTTTGGTTTCAATTTCAGAACGCCAAAATTAGTAGTTCTAGTTTTAAGTTAGTAGAAAAAGTTAACAAACTTGCATTTTCCACTAATTACACTGCAAAATTTGCGCGGAATATCATTTTGGCCTTTTTTTACACAGGCACACAAAAAAAAGTGGTCTGTGCTTTTTACAGGACCATCATATCTTATAGTATTTTTCGGCGCTGAGCACGACTCCGCTATCTAACCTCAAAGCTTGGTGAAAATCCGTAAAAATTCAGGAAAATATAGTAGGAAAAAATAAAAAAAAATTTTTTTTCATGTATAATACTATAACCTAATGTACCTAAATAGGACTAATAAACTCAAAACATCCGTCAGAATTGAACTAGCATGTCTCATATTTTTTCTAACCTCAAAAAGAAAGCTTGTTTTTCGCAAGTCATTATTTCCGAAAATCGCACGGATCTTAACAAAAACCGGTATAGGGTTTTTTGGGTTGCTGATCATGATCATGAATCTGATGTCGGATTAACAGAATTCAAAATGGCGGATCAAATATGACCGATGCGAATTTTAAATAACCACGGAACCGAACTTTTGTTCGGATCAGTATAAGTGAGTTTTTTGGGTCGCTGATCGCGAATCTGAAGTCAAATGGTTCATTCATCACAAATCTAGATTGATCATACCACGGCGAATGCAGATCCTGTGGAAAAAATGGGGAAACACCAGAACACCTCATTACTGAGTGCGGTGAGACTACAACCATTCGATATCGGAGATGGAGAACTAACCTCTGTAAGACCGTTTCAGATACTGGCTTTTGTCAAAAGCTTTAAAACTGTACGACGGACACAATAGATCTCTAACTGTCTCTATATAAGTCCCGGTGATTAATTTCACCTCTCCCACATGCCCTACAATCTAATTTAGGGTGTAGGTTCTCTCTCGGCTGTAGATAAAATTCTAATATAATATTATCTTAATCAGAGCAAGAATAAAGTAAAAAATATTCTAAGCTCCCACTAAGTAAAAAAATACGCTACTATATGAAAGAAAGGAGGAGTTAGTAAAAAAACGGTTACTATAGAAAATACGTTTATTGTTTACTATATTGAATCAAGTGGGGTCATTTCATAAGTTGCTTCTAAGTCCGAGTTAAATTACCTTTTTTATTAAGCCCTACACCGACCTCGCTTACGCTCTAATTTAGTGCAGCATCTCTAGTTAACTCCCACTTACACACGCAATAATTTAATCCGCGCTCACAGACGTCCAATTTTGGGTTTAAAATGAAACGTTAGCGGACGCTCTGAGGTTATTTTACGTACCTTCATAAATTCCACGCTCGATTCCAAAGGATTGTCGAAACGAAACAACAGCAGGAAATTTTCCTCCATGGGCAGTAACTGAGCCAGCTAAAACAGACAAATAAGTATTAAAGTTTAGTCAAAGAACTTATTAGCGTTATTAATTTGTTTCGATTTTGTCAAAAATTCACAGTCCTTTACAAAGATGCAACCGGGGGGGCATTGAAAATGATGAATAAAAACGTAAAAATATGATTAGTGTTAATATGAATGTATTACATACATATGTTTAAATAACGAACTTAACAAAAAACAAGAGATTTAAAGATTCACTGAAAAAGTAGTAGTGTTAACATTAAATAAAACATTATCAAAAATAATTATGCGATCGCACCTATCCGTAAAACAAGCAAGCAAAAAAACCTCGAAAAAAACAAAATAACATACAAAACATCAATTTAACATGATGACAGATCATGATCAATGACAGATAAAGAATTCTTACGGAAAGTTACACTTTACGATATAATTTTTTAACTGTTAAAGGCAAAGCCCATTTAAACACAAAACTTTTTAATACCTACTACTGTATCTAAAAGACTTTTTTTAAATTACTAAATTCCTAGCCACGCTTCTGTTTTTCTTGGCTGTTGTGCGTCACGTCACAGATTAACAGGCCCACGTTTGCACCACAAGGCGATGCTGCAGACCACTAGGTAGACCGGTCGTAGCAATTTATGTTATACAACTTGTAGTCAATCTACACAAATATTATCAAAAACTTTTTTTCTTTTAAAATGTGTTCAGATTTTGTAAAACGTATAAGCCAAAATCGCAAAACTTAAATTTGATATGAGTTTCTTAGTTTTTAACTAATATAGTGGCGAATTACAAAAATTCCTTTTCAATGAAAATTAATGAGTTAAATAAAATAATTTAATAAATTACTAGCTTTTTCTCGCGACTACGTTCGCGTTACACCTCCAATCTTTATGCATTGATTTAAATGATTTTTTACTTCTTTATAGAGAGCTAGTGAACATATAGATGTTTTTTATTTTTCATCTTTTTTTTATTTATTAAGAGCACTAATACTCTCTTTATAGGTTATTTTTTATTCTTTGAAGGATAATTGAGGAAGATATATTTCCTTATGATGTCACTAAATAAACCCTTGTATAAAATTTTATACTGTCTGGTTTATAATGTTATAGTATTGCATTTTCGTACAGCAAACTTTCATTCCCTATTTTACTCCCTAAGGGTATAAATTTCATAAATTCGCTTTACCTTTGTGCCAATTTTTATGTGTATAATCCAGACGTCACCAAGTTTTATATAAATTTTTACTAACTTTACCCATTTGGTTGATGAATTTCAAAAATTTCTTCTAATTCTTTTTGTAGGATTTCATTCTTCTAGACGAAATAGTAAGGAATTTTCATACAACAAACTGTTCCGAGATAATTTTACTCTCTAAGAGGATGAATTTCCTAAAATCGCTTTGTGTAGCTAATTCACTAATGTCGTTTAAACGAACCTTTGTGCTAATATTTATGTATCTAAAGCTGGCGGCATCAACTCACTCTAAAATATCTAAAAACGTAATATATAATCTAACTGACACACCACTGACAATGACAACTAATTTATTTCTGGAGGTATTGTGTGTAGGTGTTTTCAGGTATGTTTTAGTATTTAGTCGTTTTACACAAAGAAATAGCCATTAAGCACTATAAAAATACTTCATAACAAATCTACACATATATACCTTTCATTTAAAAAAAGAATCATCAAGATTGGTAAAGCGCTTTCGGCGGGATGGATGCAACAAAAAAACCCTTTGAGCTTTTATATATGTATGGACTAATTATTTTTCAACATATTTTACTTTGCAAATTTTTATAAATATTCAGACTCGCCAATATCGTACTCCACCGTGTCCAGCCTGTTTAGCCAAACGTAGGCCGATTCCTCTTCGGCGGCGTCGTGACCCTGGCCGAAGGAAGAGTCTTGAAGACGCTCATCCGCGCATAGGAATAAGTTGACTGCGTAGCGTATTGCGTATTAATCGATTCTGAAACTTTCTATCTCGTGTATAACATGTTACGCAAGTTTATTATTTTAATCTCGATTTTAATAGATAAATGTGTGAAATGCCACCTGAATATCTTCCGCCATGACATGTTTTTACTTTTTTGTTATGGTAAAGTGATTTGTATAAACTTTATTCAATAACGTATATTTTCCTCCATTTGTGATTTTTTAATTTTAAGCGAAAATTAAGTATAACATTTTAGGAAAAAGAAACACTGTAATATTTAAAAGAATAAGAAGAAATTAGTCTTATTTTGAAAGGAAAATATAGAAAAAACTCTTTCTATAGAAAAAGTCTTTATACTAACCAGAATCCGGTGACATATACGCGGTCTCACCGGAAACATTACTTATTACTTCGCATAACTTGAAGAATATCTACTTTTAATAATGAACACTTCAGAAATACACCAGTAAAAACATTTATTATTTGAGATTAAAACTCGAATTAAATTATAAATATTAGTTACCTATGTTGTTATAGCTTTTATAGGCCTGTTTAACGACTTAATAAGTTACCTAGCGAAAAAATCTGTGCGCGTACCTACCACTATTGTTACAGGTTAATTCGTTAAAGAAATATGTTACACAAGTTAAAAACGCTAAAATTTTAATGGTATTACTTGTGCATTATTGGCCTTATAATGTAATTTGTTGGAATTATATCTTCTTTAAATATAATTAGACTTTTTAACGACTTTTAAGTTACCTAGGAAAAAATCTGTGCACGTACCTACCAGTATTGTTACAGGTTAATTCGTGAAACAAATGTGTTACATATTATTCGTGGTATTAGTGGTATTATATTGGAATCAGCTTGGCATTAGTGGGGCATTATATGAGAAATTTTGGTATTTAATTTGTATTTTTGGCATTACTTTGGCATTAGTATACAGACATTTGTCAGCGGTTTACTCCTTGTAGATAATCAAAAAGTTTTTTGATAAAATTTGCTTTTCATGTCAGATCATTTCTATGAAAAATTACATTAGATTTTTATTAAAGACGCTGGGTAATTAAAACATTGACTAATAAACCTTGTCCACTTTAAATACGGGGTCACGAAATATCCTCCTTGGAGTGTTTGGGTTAAGGGGTGTATAATAAATTAATCGTTGTTTTATAATAAAAACCATAAAACATTTATTTGTGAGTAAAATAATGCAATGGTTGGATATCTCTCCTTTATAATTCGGTGACTAAAAATACACTAAAATAATTAGAAAAAAAATCTTGTACTTATTTAGTAATTACGTCAATATTAATTAATTGACTTTCTAGTCTATTTTATTTTATGTACAAATATATTATTAAATTTTAAGCATTAAGTAATAAAACACTTTGTGCCCTCTTATATCGTAAAAGGTTACGAAATATACTCCTGGTTACACCCCTTACAGAAAACAGTGTAAGGGGTGTAAATAAATTGTATAATCACTGTTTTTTATAATAAAAACTATAAAATATTTCTTATTTGTGAGATTAAAAAAACAAAACAATGCATTGGTTAAAATAAGTACATTCAATACTGTTTTCAATTGTTAATTCAATAATGTGTTATAACATAATATAGCCATTACTATTATACTATTATTATTAAAATAATATGTGTGTAACATATTTCTTTAACGAATTAACCTGTAACAGACATTTATATGCCCAGTATATTTTTGTTTAACAAACCAATCAGGAAAAATCCAAAACCTACCGTTATAGGAGGTATAAGACGATTAAACTTATATAATGACAACTACTTATCGGATAACAAATTAATTACTACTGTCAGCTAGTTCAGCTACTGTCTAGGTAGAATTTACCTAGAGTACCTACACCTACCTATGATGATGTAGGTAGATTAAAGCTTATTTTGACGTTACCTCTCACTTCGGTGTCACAAGCTGAATTTTTCAGGGATGGAAGTACAGTACATCACAGTACATGATATGGGGACCCTTATTCCGAAAGTAGTACAAAATTAAACAGGGTAAAAAGGCACTATCATCAAAAATCGATATATTAATACCACCGTATAGAGAAAACAAATACTTATTTTTTGATCCAGTACAGAATAAAGTCTTCGTAGGGAGTAATTTTTTATAATTATTTACAAAAAAACATTTCCATTAGCGCTTATGACCAAAAAAAAACTTTAAACATGAATAATCATTTCAATCATGCGAAAATTTGGTTTAAAAATAGAGATTTTTTTTTAATATAACTTTCATTTAACGAAAAACGAAGGCCTAAATGAAAAAAAGAAACAATTTAAAAGTTTCGCTCATGTCTTGACAAGGTATCAAAGCAAACCCCATATTTTTTGCTTTTAAACTAATAAAGATATATCAATAAACAATTAGATGTAATGAGTTTAATCCGCGCTCACAGACGTCCAATTTTGGGTTTAAAATGAAACGTTAGCGGACGCTCTTGAGGTTATTTTACGTACCTTCATAAATTCCACGCTCGACTTTTAAACTAATAAAGATATATCAATAAACAATTAGCGATGTAATGGTTTTTGCGCGCGCTGGCCGACTGCCGCCGCTGCGCCGAGATTTCCTATTCCCTTGTATATATGACGTCATGGTGTGGCAAATGTAGCATTTTAATTCGATTTGGGCTCCCTTATATAGGATAACAGAAACATTTTCAATGTTAATATCTGCGAATATTGATACTAAATAAAAGATATTTTTAAGAATCAATCTTTTGTTACAGTACTATGCTGTCACATAGAGAGCTTAGGTGACCTCTGGTATGTACTTGTGATAAACGCATCAGTCTTCACAAATAGAGGGTGTCCATTTTTGTGTGCTTTATGGGTTATGGGATTTCTTGTTTATGATTTGAGATAAAAAGATGCGATTTTCACATCATTCTGCTATTTTGTTATAAAACTAGAGATGCTACAGGCTACAGACATATTTTTCCTAGGCCTCTGGGATTCTGAAACACCGGGCGAATTTAAAAAAGTTGCCTTTTTCGACTCTCTTCGTGTCTTGGTTAGCTTATAACTTATTCGAATGGTAGAGTATTTTACGTCGAGTCCCGGTAGAGTATTTTACGTCGAAACCAGTGACCAAAATATTCTTTACAGTGACGTAATAAGTTTTTCGCTGGGACCTGTCGTTTCTGAAATATGACTCAAAATTCTTTTTAATGGGATAACCTGTATATTATTTTTTATTTTGTTTGCCTTGTTTTGAGCTTTCTAAAAATATAATATATTCTGTACTTATTTTCATAAACAAGATAAAAATTAATTTTTTAACATTTTAATCTAATAACAAAATTATATTATAATCTAATTATAAACCTAGTTGAAAAAATCATTTTGTTATCCATCGTGTTACCTTTATAAACAGCACTGAAAATAAACTTGTGCAGCTTTTAGCACGCTATCAATCAGAGCTATTGATATTTTTAATGCACTTGTGCAATAATTCTAAACACAGAAATAGACAATAACGAAAATTTGACGTCGAATAAATTATTCGATTTTTTTGATTAACGATTTTAAAACGGTCGCCTATGTTATTAAGTATTTGGAGGCTGGCGACGTGGTCGTATTGAAATGAGGCGCGTGTTCTAACAACTTTTATTTAACATTAATATAAATTGGACTGAAATTTAACAGAAACGAAGGAGCACAATCGGACTAGCCGGCGGCCATCTTGACTAACTGACTGCTGGCTTCGTTGACGGATGACAGCGCGGACTGTCACTCGGTTCTTCTTTTCTCTGTGGACTTGGCCTTCATGAGCATATTTCAAAAATGACAGCTGGCAACTGGCAACAAAAATCTAGTTACGCCACTGAATTCTACGTGAAAAACTGGGTCTCAGTTTTCGCCTTTTCGATAAGTTCTTTTCGATAACCGAGACATAAAGGAGGTAAAAAAAATGCAAGATTTTCAATTTCGCCCTGTATTTCAGTAACTAAGAGTGTTAGAACAAATCTATGTGTAGTATCTTTAGTTTCATACAAAAGTAGCAGTGATGTGAAAAACACATCTTTGTAGCTATTGGTACTCATAAATGAAAAACCCTGCAAAACATACGAAAATGGAACACAAAAAAATATCGCCAAAGAAGAGTGGTACTATTTCGTAGGTCGTACCAGCTAAATATACACAAGGTACTTTTCCATTATTTTTTTTTTCATTTGAAGGTTGATGCACTTTTATTTAAATAAATAAAGTTACCACACCTGTCGCCAGTGGCCAATACAGAGGGGGGGCACATGGGGCCCGCCCCCCCCCCTAAAAATCCATAAATTGGGTTAAATATTAGGCTTTTAAGTTAAAAATGGCGACCTATAAAGCATATTCTACATTATTTTTTGTTTGGGCCCCCCCTAAAATAAATTCCTGTATACGCCCCTGCCTGTCGTGTCGGGGAACAAAATCAGCTATTCTTATATTTTATTGTCATTGTAATATTTACAGCTATATAATTTTTAATAATTCTACTGTAAATTTTCTAAAGAAATATAACTTAATATTACACTGGGGAACAGCAATTTTGTTGACTTGGATCTGTGACCTGTTTTTGACTAATTTTTGGTCTCTGAATTCAAAAATATTCACAGTTTTTCTCTATTACGTCAAGTTTTTAAGCTACAGCATACCCCCTCCTTTTACCTTAAAAGTGCACATACAAAGGGAAATAAGGTAAGATCTGACCAAACAGATTAGAATATTTTATTCATACAGAGGTTAATATATTAAAAGTTAAATTGTGTTTATGCAAAAAATAATAAAAAAAGATATTATGGTAAAAATTTCCTCTTATAGCTTTTCCTGGAGTGTTCAATTTGTGGGCATTCCCGCTTGATGTCCCAATAGTAGTCAGCCATCATACTGACATCCCATTTGCCTTGATACTGCCTCCATAACCTACAGATCTGGGTGAAATCGCTCGCCTTGTTCATCACTAACAGCACCAAGATTTTCTGGGAAGTTAGCAAGATGGCTATGTACTGTACAAAAATGCACTTTGATGCTCATATTGCAAGCAAGCTTCTTAAAGCTTTCCAAGAGTTGTTCAACAATTTGACAGGGCTGCTTAGACACTTACGACGAGAACTACCAGAGGCAGACATAACGAAAATCTGTAGTTTGTGTATAAATAAAATCTAAACACGGTTTATCTTATGTAAAGAGAAAAACATAGACTCCACTTCGGACTTTTACTTCACTATATGACAGCGACACACATCCGCGTACTTTAGCATCTCCTGCGTAACCAGTGCGTAACTGACCGAACTAGTTACTTGTGTCTAGCCCCAGCAGGCAACTATTAAGCCCGACCAATCACAAATAACAAACTTTAACAAACACAAATGAATTAACACCCTCCAAATAACCACGCTAACCAACCCGATTGGTCAAGCTTAATAGTTCCTTGCTGGGGCTAAACACTTCTGAATTAGTTTTGGATGACGCAACGTCACTCACGCCCCAAGTTGAAGAAGGTTCGCCGTAATCGCCGCGCCGGTAGGAGAGCAGAAGTGACTGACAATCCTGCGAAGGGTAGTGGCATGCACAACTGTAGGGAAAAAACTTGACGTGATAGGAAAAAACTAAATACAGTTTTGGAATTAGCATGTCAATTTACTTATAAAACAGCTTAAATATCGAACTCAACACAAATTATTTTTCAAATTGTTCCCCAGTGTTATCTATACGAACCTCACGAATATCAATTTTCCCATCTTGATTGTCATCATATGCCTCCATAAAGCAAGCTTTCAGTTCTATTAACATGTCGTCAGATACAGCCTATAAAACACAAGTAAACACAGTAAACGGTTTATTAATATGTACAGGGTAGACCATTTTGGTTGTTTCTATAGTGTATTTAGGAAACCGTGAGAAATATTAAAATTTTGATATTGTAGTCTCGGGTTCTTTTTTTGAAAAAATCACAATGCCGCAAACGGATCGTGGCTTGATCGGTTTCGAAGCTACAGGGGGATTCTCAAATTTTGTACTTTTTAAAGATGTTCGATAGTTTGTTTATTTTAACAACTAGGCAAAAATGAATTAAACATTCCAAAGGCACTTTTCTGTGTAGAATGCAGTGGCGTAGTCAGACTTTTTTGGAAAAAAATATTTTTTTAGATATTAACTATACTTATGTTTTTTTTAAATACAACCCCCTGTGTATTTTTAAATTTCCTGATTCAGTTTGCCATGGGATTCTCGAAAATATATAACACTATGTATTTTTTTCCACTATTAACTTTAAAATTCCATTTTATTTAAAGATATCGACTTTCCTCTTGGTAGGTCATGCCGAGTATTTAAGGAAACAAGCGAATATCTACTTTCAAATTAATCCATGTATTAGCAATTATATAAATTCAAAAAATACGAAGCAAAAAAAATAAGTGTGACAGAAACAAAAGAACATATTTTAATACAAACTCAACAGGTTACTTCAATCGGGCTTCTCAGTTAATATAAAATATAAAAACACAAAGACTACATTAAATGTTCAAACTGCTGCCCATTATTATCTAGACGGGGTTGGCACCGTCTCTGCATGCTGCCTCTAACAGCGTTTCGAATGTGTATGTTGGTTACACTTTGCAGAGCCACAACAAAACTATCTTGTAACTCTTCTAATAAATTTGCATTTCGATAAATTTCGTTTTTAGAAAGCCCCAGAGAAAGAAGTCTAAGAGAGTGATATCAGGTGACCTAGGATTAAACTATTTTCTGACCTTTTAAAAATGGCTGTGTTTGGTTGCTCGCGCTCAAAATACCCCTAAAAATATAAATCAGCTGTCATTTGCTTATGTTTGTTACACTCATTATAACATTCTAACATGTTATATTTATAAAAATTTTCAAATTTACTAATTTTTTTATTATTTAAAATACACACACTTCAATCTGTTGAAATGAGATGTCACGCATCTATCAAAGCAATATCAAAGCTATGTACCGATTGCCATGACAACCGTTTACTTTGTTACTCGGCGCGGCCTACTGTACTAACTGGATATTTTAAGAAAAATTTGAAATGTTGAGGTTAATAGTGAAAATAAATATAGAGTCTTATATATTTTCGAGAAGCCCATGCCAAGCTGAATCAAGAAATTTAAAAATATACAGGGGATTCTATTTAAAAAAACAGAAGTATAGTTAATATCTAAAAAAAATATTTTTTTCGAAAAAAGTCAGACTACGCCACTGTATTCTACACAGAAAAGTACATTTAGAATGTATAATTCATTTTTGCGTAGTTGCTGAAATAAACAAACTATCGAACATCTTCAAAAAGTACAAAATTTGAGAATCCCCCTGTAGCTTCGAAACCGATCAAGATAGCCACGATCCGTTTGCGGCATTGTGATTTTTTCAAAAAAAGAACCCGAGACTGCAGTATCAAAATTTGAATATTTCTTACGGTTTCCTAGATACCCTATAGAAACAACAAAAATGGTCCACCCTGTACACTACAGTACCTACTATATATATTATTATTACAAATAACATTACAATTTTATATGTATATGCGTACCAAAGTACCATACGATTCACCACAGACGGCTGGTGAATGGCAATCGATGGCAATTTCGGCCAGGTTAAGCTCTAGACGTCATTACTTGGCCCATACTATTTTTATTTTTTGATGAAGCTTACTGTCAGTTGGTTTTAAGAAGGTTATAATTTATTTTTATACTTAGTAAAAATTATTTTTAAATGGCGTACTTAGTTTAAAATTTGAAAAAAAAATTTTTTTTGGGAATAGATTTGTGTTTCTGGAAACGTTCTATCTATTTTTAATCTTTCTATATTAGTGTTAAATTTTGATAAGCTTTATGCCAATTTTTAGCAAATGGTGTCTAGAAATTGACATCGCCAAAATAATCATGGATTGTCATTCCCCAGCCATCTTTAACGCCTTTTTTTCGATCATACGGTACCCTGTGTGTGTTGAAGTTATTAAAAATATATACCGGGTGGTCCGAACTGTATTCCGGAAACTTTTGCAGCATATTCGGCAGATAAAAATAAGTAAAAAATTTCGCATAAATGCATGTATGTCCTAAACTGCTTAATATCGGTGGGTAGAAGTTTCATTTTTATTTAGATTTTTTCCAAATAATATCTGAAGCAACTTAAATATTTGGAATAAAAATTGGTGTCTGGGAGTTTTTTGACATGAGCAATTTGATTTTGATATCAGTATGACTCTTATTTGTAGGGGGCGCCACCTACATGTGTTTTAACGTTTTAACTGTTTTGAAGAGTAATAATTTTACGTCCGTACCTGTATAAAACTACTGAGTGAAAAAATATATATTTCCGTGATTTTCAACGTAAAATTGTCTCTTGGTAAAGCTCGACTACGAGCTACGAGCAACAGTTCTCAAGATATTTAGAATGGAATTATTCAATACATTATTGATAAATAAACATAGTATGTTGAGTACATAGTTCTTTGACTGAAATGATAAATTTCGGAACTTTTTATTTTTTTAAATTAATCATAAATTTTTCTTCGAAAAAATCATGATAAAACAGTTTCTGCTGTACTTTTGACAAAACATCATTTAAAATTTATGATTTCAGTCTAAAAACTATTTAGTGAGTAGGTTTAATTATTTATGTCAATTTATGTATTGATAAATTCGATTCCAAATATCTCGAAAACCATTACGCTTAGCGATTTTTTCCAAGAGACCTATTTTTACGTAAAAAACGTCCTAAATTTATATTCTTTTACTCAGTAGTTTTATACAGGTATGGACAAAAAGTTATTACTATTCAAACCAGTAAAAAAATATGTAGATGGCGTCCTCTACAAGTAAGAGTCGTATTGACATCAAAATCAAATTTCTCATATCAAAAAACTCCCAGACACCAACTTTCAATACAAATATTGACGTTACTTCGGAAATTATTTGGAAAAAATAGAAATAAAATGAAATTTCTACACCCTGTATCTCCGAATCTAAGCATTTTAAGACATACATTTATACGAACTTTTTTACTTATTTTTATCTGCAGAATATGCTGCCGAAGTTTCCGGAATACAGTACGGACTACCATGTATATCCACATTATTAAAAATTATATTAGTTAGACAATTTTAAAATGTACTCTGTATGTAAGGAGCTATTTTGAGAATGGAAAAGGAAAAAATAAGCTGTGAAAAATTAGGTACGAATACGAACAAAAATTTTTTAGAAAAGGCTTTAGTTTTAGTTGAACTTAAAATTCTTTTTGAATTTTCAAGTAGAAAAATAAAAAAAACACATTTTCCATGCTCTTTCCAGCTAAAAGAAAAATATAAAAGATAAAATGCTAAAAAAGTGGAGCGGCGTGTTTTTCGACCTATAGGACATAAAACAACATTTTTTTAATTAAAATTTCTGGATGTACTTTTTTCTGGTAAAATATCAAAATGTCAACAAGCTTCAACTTGGGTATTTTTAACAAACGTGTCGCGTCGTAACTTAACTACGTTTCAATATTTATTATAATATTTTGGATGCACCCATATAATAAATTATTATACAGATAGGAACATCAAACAAAAAACTGTTATAAATCAAGTGTTTTATTATCCTATATTTATTTATATTCAGTTATTTAGAATAGTTTATAAATATGGCAGATCAGTTAGAACCCCACCAATAAAAGATTTTCTTGACATATACTGAGATTTTTCAAAAGTGGCCTATATAACACACAATATCCGCAGGATAGAATGTCGGAATGTCCCATTATAAGATCATCTTATAAAGATCCAGACATCCTGAAATCCTGTAGATGTCTCAGAATAGAATATCCTATGGATATCTCTATGGTCGTATGTCTGATGTACAGCTGGTTCCAAAAAAAAAATGAATACTACTCTTTACACATTTTTTTTGGATATTTGAGCAGTGTATATTTTATGTGCCAAGTATTTTGACATGTTAACGTTATTGTGATGCTGAATAAAAGAACTTTGCTTTTGACAAAGTGACAAATAAATTTTTCAGAATATCAGCGTGACATGAGTAGAGAATATACTGCCCGAAATAATAAAAAATATGCTTTAAATCCTATTCAATTTTATTGGAACCAGCTGTACATCCAGCTGAGATATCCAAACATGCTCATGATAATAAAATATCCTAACAATATCGTCTAGATATTTAGGAAAAATAAATAATGTATTACTTTTTATATTACATAAAATGCAATAAACAATACAGATAGATATATATTACGTCAAGGCAACAAAATATCCTGTTGGTATTTTCTGGATAATCTGGATATTTATGAGCTTGGCCACTCCCAGTAATATAGAGAATTTAAAACGCCCGCGCAAAAAATTTCCCACAATCCATCTCGACAGTTGTTTGTTTTTGCATCGTGTATTATTCAGTTCTTTGATTTAGTGAAATTCGAGGTGAATTCGGTCGTTTGTCGATATTTAATGGGCTTAAAAATTACTGAAACTAATAAAACTGATTGAGTTTGACTTAGTTTTTTCTTATACTAATAGTTCTAGCCTTGTTCTAGCAGAAATTTTATCCTAACCTCAACTAATGTCGAAAAACGACGAACGACTCAGGGTCTCACAATGCAAAATTTGTGACAAAATTATAGGTGAAAATTTGTTGAAAAGCGCTTGTTCTTTATCCCTAAACCCATTTTCGTGTTTGATCTATTCGAACAGAAATCCTATTTTTGTGTTTAAATTGTGAGTTTCTGGAATGTGTGGTGTTAGAAATTATACCTGTATCAGAGTACGTAGATCACCGAGTAGCGAC